ACCACAGAGTGAATATTTGTGGACGCCGCCGCCGACGACGACGCCGACGGAATGTAGGATCGCTATGTCTCGCTTTTTCGACAAAAGTCGAAGGCTCGACAAAAATGACATCATAGTCATGGCTAAACATAGCAAAATAAAATGCTTCGCTGGGGCGCAGCTTGATACGACCGCAGAGGTCGAACCCTGAACAGTTGGGGCAAGTATGGACACAACATTCAAGCTTGATACAGCTCTGAATTTGGATTGTTATTAAATATTTGACACAGCATAGGTTTCTGACACAGAAAGAATGTGGTCTAAGAACTTGAATTTTTTTAATTTACCTATTATGGTCCAATGTCCAAAATCAAAATACATGGTTAGATTCAGCATATCAAAGAACCCCATATATTCAATTTTTGTTAAAATCAAACAAAGTTTAATTTTGGACCCTTTGGACCTTAATGTAGACCAATTTAAAAAACGGGACTTAAAATTAAAAATCTAAATACACGGTTAGATTTGGAATATCAAAAAACCCCAATAATTCAATTTTTGATGAAATCAAACAAAGTTTAATTTTGGACCCTTTTGACCTCAATATGAACCAATTTGATAGCGGGGCCCACAAATAAAAAATCTAAGTTCATGGTTAGATTCAGCATATCAAAGAACCCCATATATTCAATTTTTGTTGAAATCAAAAAAAATATAATTTTGGACCCCAACTTGGACCAACTTGAAAACTGGGCCCATAATCAAAAATCTAAACACATGTTTAGATTCAGCATATCAAAGAACCCCAAGAATTCAATTTTTGTTAAAATCAAACTAAGTTTAATTTTGGACCCTTTGGACCTCAATGAAGACCAATTTAAAAAACGGGACCCAAATTAAAAATCTAAAAACACGGTTAGATTTGGCATATCAAAGAACCCCAATAATTCAATTTTCGATGAAATCAAACAAAGTTTAATTTTGGACCCTTTTGACCTCAATATGAACCAATTTGATAGCGGGGCCTACAAATAAAAAATCTAAATACATGGTTAGATTCAGCATATCAAAGAACCTCATATATTCAATTTTTGTTGAAATCAAACAAAGTTTAATTTTGGACCCCAATTTGGACCAACTTGAAAACTGGGCCCATAATCAAAAATCTAAATACATGTTTAGATTCAGCATATCAAAGAACCCCATATATTCAATTTTTGTTGAAATCAAACAAAGTTTAAATACTGGAACCTATCTTGGACCAACTTGAAAACTGGGCCCATAATCAAAAATCTAAACACATGTTTAGATTCAGCAAATCAAAGAACCCCAAGATTTCAATTTTTGTTAAAATCAAACTAAGTTTAATTTGGACCCTTTGGACCTCAATGTAGACCAATTTAAAAAACAGGACCCAAAATTAAAAACCTAAATACACGGTTAGATTTGGAATTTCAAAGAACCCCAATAATTCAATTTTAGATGAAATCAAACAAAGTTTAATTTTGGACCCTTTTGACCTCAATATGAACCAATTAGATAACGGGGTCCACAAATAAAAAATCTAAATACATGGTTAGATTCAGCATATCAAAGAACCCCATATATTCAATTTTTGTTGAAATCAAACAAAGTTTAATTTTGGACCCCAATTTGGACCAACTTGAAAACTGGGCCAAAAATCAAAAATCTAAATACATGTTTAGATTCAGCATATCAAAGAACCTCATATATTCAATTTTTGCTAAAATCAAACAAAGTTTAATTTTGGACCCTTTGGACATTAATGTAGACCAATTTGAAAACTGGACCCAAAATCAAAAATCTAAATACACTGTTAGATTCGGCATAACAAATAAATAAATGTGATCAAAGATTTTACAAATCTAATGCGCCATACTGTGCAATTAAAGATTACTTCTTGAAATTTTTCAATATTTGAAATTTGAAAAAAAAATAATATTTGAAGAATAATTCTTTTTAATTTCTGAAATCTGAAATGAGAAAAAATTGGCCCCCCACAATTTCTTTTTATCCCCCCCCCCTTTTTCCCCCCAAAAAATTCTTTCCCTCAAGATATGGTCATAATCTCAATTCAAATTTCCAATGGAGTTGGCAACCATAATTACCCATTTAAATTTACCATAGTGCTAACTTAATCTATTTTATAATAGAATTAATAAAAATATAGTGTCAAATCTTTCATATGGATTTTTTTGTAAAAAAAAAAGATGAAAACATTTGCAGATATTTTTACTGGTCTTCCTTTATAAATATGCATTTCTTTAAACATAATTTAAAAGCAGTGTAAGGGAAGTAACCAAAACGTTGTATTTGGATTACCTCCCTTACACTGTTTTAGATTATCTTTATTGTTCATTAACCATTACTTTATACATAATTTAAAAGCAGTGTAAGGGAGATAATTTCAATGATGTATTTGATTTATCTCCCTTACACTGCTTGAAATTATGTTTTGTACTAAAGTATTTGTCCATTAACCAGGACAACCTTGTTTTTCCCCCTTTTTTGCCCCTAATTCCTAAACGGTTTGAGCCATAACCCCCCAAAGCAAATCCTAACCATCCCTTTGTGGTATGGAAACTTGTAGTATAATTTCAGAGAGATCCATACACCGTTCCACAGTTATTGTCTAGAAACTAGAAAATGCTCATTTTTGGCCCCTTTTTGGCCCCTAATTCCTTAACTGTTGGTACCATAACCCCCAAAATCAATCCCAACCTTCCTTTTGTGGTATTTAACCTTATGGTCAAATTTCAAAAAGATCCATTCATTTAAACTAAAGTTAGAGTGCGAAAACCAATATGTATTCGGACGACGACGCTGGACGACGACGACGACGACGACGACGACGACGACGACGACGCCAATGTCATACCAATATACGACCACAAAATTTTTTTGCGGTCGTATAAAAACCTTAATCAGCATCATTTAACAGTAATATCTAAAAATGGAAATTACATCATAAAGGTATTAAAATAGAAAATGACATCATAGTCATGGCTAAAAATAAACAAAATCCTTAATCAGCATCAGCAACATTTTATAGTAATATCTAAAAATAAAATTCCTTTGTAACCATAAAAGCCCATTTAAATGCATCATAACAGATATTAAAATAGAAAATGACATCATAGTCATGGCTAAACATAGCAAAAACCTTAATCAGCATCATTTAACAGTAATATCTAAAAATAAAAATTTCTTTGCAACCATAAAAGTAAAATAGAAAATGACATCATAATCATAGCTAAAAATAAACAAAAATTTTTTTTATTGGCAAATTTTAAATGGAGTTTATTATACTAAAACAATAAATTTGCAACCATAAACATGATAAAACCCCATTTAAACACATCATAATAAAAGTATTAAATAATTCAACTACATCATAAGGCTATAAAAATAGAAAATGACTTCATAGTCAAGGCTTAAGGTAAACAAAAAACCTTCATCAGCAAAATTTTATATTGGCAAATTTCCAATGAAGTTTATTACACTAAAATTGTTGGCAAATTTCCAATGCATTTATTAACAATAAAGTTATTGGCAAATTTCCAATCTACATAATTTAAAAGCAGTGTAGATGAGATATTTAAATGAGTTTGAATTACCAACCTTACACTGCTTTTAAATAATGTTCTTTACTCAATTATTTGTCTATTAAAATGGAAACCCTTGTTTTTTAACCTTTTTCCCCCTTATTCCTTAAACATTAGAGCCATAACCACCCCCCCCCCCCCCAAAGCCAATTATTACTTTCCAATGTAACTTAAATTTCCAATATAAATAATTTTAAATTTCAATTCCTCATGATATATAACCGTATCATTATTATTTTCTTTCATATATAAATCTGAAACAACCATCTTTAAATGGAAAATTTTAAAGAAAAAAAAAGGAAAAAAAAAAATCCTACCTCCCACACATTTTTTCAACCCCCTTTTGATTCATCATCCCCCACCTCAATCACAACCTTCAATTTGTGGTATGTTACATTGCAATACAATTTCACAGAGATCCATACACTTGAACACAAGTTTTTGTTGCAAACTAAAAAAATCCTTATTTTTGACCAATATTTGGCCCCTTATTCATAAATGTTTGAGCAATTAACCCCAAAACTCAATTCCTACTTTCTCTTCGTGATAAAAAATAACTAACTTAAAATGTAAATTTTAAACAAAAAAAAAAGGAAAAAAAAAAATTACCCCTTTTTTGACCCTCGCCCCCCTTATGATTCATCACCCCCCACCCCCCTTTCCCCCCAAACCAAGCTCAATAACAGCCTTGCCTTTGTGGTATGGTACCTTGTAATACAATTTTAGAGAGATCCATACACTTGAACACAAGTTATTGTCTAGAAACTAAAAAATGCTTATTTTAAACCCCTTTTTAGGCCCCTTATTACTAAACGTTTTGGGCAATTACCACAACACTCAATTCCAGCTTTTCCTTTGTGAAATGGAACCTTGTAGTAAAATTTCAGAAAGATCCATACACTTACACACAAGTTATTGTCATGAAACTAGAAAAATGCTTGTTTTTTGCCCCCTTTTGGCCCCTTATTCCTAAAATTTTGAGGCAATTAACCCAAAAATCAATCCCAGCATTGACCCTTTGTGATATGGAATCTTGTGGTACAATGTCAAAGAGATCCATATGCTAACACACAAGTTATGTCTGGAAGTTACAAAAATGCTTATTTTCCGCCCCTTTTTGGCCCCTAATTCCTTAACTGTTGGTACCATAACCCCCAAAATCAATCCCCACCTTCCTATTGTGGTATTGAACCTTATGGTAAAATTTCATAGAGATCCATTCACTTAAACTAAAGTTAGAGTGCGAAAACCATTGTGTATTCGGACGACGACGCTGGACGACGACGACGCCAACGTCATACCAATATACGACCTCAAAATTTTTTTGCGGTCGTATAAAAATTGCAGACTGCAACCAACAACAATCACTGAATTATAAAGACTATAAAAGTAAGAAAATGTACAAATGAAATTTTAATGTTATGATTAGAATACAAACGCATATGTTTCATACAAAATTGTAAATGTTTTATATTGTTTTTCAAAATAACAGTATAACAAAATGCATATTCAAACTTCAATCTATTTCATAATTGTCTCCCATGCTGAATTTTAAAGGGTTGTCTCTCACCTAGGATATGTTGTTCATTTGTAATTTTTAGGGGGATAGAATAATTTCTTGTGTAATTTCATAATACAATTCAAAATGATAATGGAGTTCAATCACAGAAATATTTGAAAATTATAAAATGTCAAAAACTGATGTACATGCTTTAATATGGTAATTACCATAAAAATGGGAGATAACTCTTACTAACAAGAGTGAATGATTTCCTGTATGTATTTCTTTCTTAGCTTTTATGCTGCTCAAGTTCATATTCAGTAGCAGTTTGGTAACCACAGTTGTGGCACATACCAAAATTTCAAATACTGTCAACTAGTGGATTTTTCAATCACATTTTTTAAGTCATAAACTTGTCACTGATCACAAATCATTTTGTTTTTTTGGTAATATTTCCTGTTGCAGGTATAACTGTAGATTTAGTTCCTGAAGCAGAACCTGACACCACATTAGGGTTAATAACACCAGGTAATCCTCCTCGGGAACCAGTCACATTTGATGTTGGTTGATTGTCCCACTTTGTCTTTCTTTTTTTATCATCTGAAATTAATAGATACAGTTTACTGTTAACTGCTGTGAAGCTTCAACATGCATTTCATTTATTAAAATCATGTGCTTAAAAAAAACAATTTGCCACTGATTTTTTAGCTTATGATAAAAATAAATGTGGATAGTGTCCACATGTGGACACAGATGATGCCCCCGCTTGCATATCATATAATTATAAAGGACATAACTGAAGAACTGTAAAAGTGACGCTACCCAAATTTGAACTTGATCTGAGTTTTGTGGTAATAAGCATTGTGTGTAGTCTCATAACATTTGGTTGAGGCTAACTTAAGTAGAGAACAGAAACTAAAAATTCAGCAATTTTTCTATTTGTAAACAAGCATAACTCTAGAACGGTTGTGTATAAGTTTTATAACATTTGGTTGAAACAAACTAAAGTTAGAGAACGGAAACGAAAAATTCAGCAATTTTTGTGTTTATAAAGGGACATAACTCAAGAATGGTAAAAGTGTTGCCACCAAATTTCGTACTTAATCTGTATTATGTAGTAATAAGCATTGTGTATAAGTTTCATACCATTTGGTTGAGGCAAACTAAATTTAAACAAGAGTGCACACGCTGAAATGTCTCGCCTTCTTTACTAATCATTGATATTATGTTGATAGTCCTAAATATAAAGCTTTATTACAACTGTCACATAAACTTAACATTAACCAAGTAAACTAAACATTGACCAATGAACCATGAAAATGAGGTCAAGGTCAGATGAACCATGCTAGGCAGGCATGTACAGCTAACAATTCTTCCATACAACAAATATAGTTGACCTATTGCTTATAGTTTAAGAAAAATAGACGAAAACACAAAAACTTAACACTGAGCAATGAACCTTGAAAATGAGGTCAAGGTCAAATAAAACCTGCGTGACTGACATATAGATCATAAAATATTTCCATACACCAAATATAGTTGAACTATTGCATATAGTATTAAAAAAAAGACCAAAACTCAAAAACTTAACTTTGACCACTGAACCATGAAAATGAGGTCAAGGTAAGATGACACCTGCCAGCTAGACATGTACACCTTACAATCATTCCATACACCAAATATAGCTGACCTATTGCATGCAGTATTAGAAAAAAAGACCAAAACTCAAAAACTTAACTTTGACCACTGAACCATGAAAATGAGGTCAAGCAAGGTCAGATGACACCTGCCAGCTAGACATGTACACCTTACAATCATTCGATACACCAAATATAGTAGACCTATTGCATACAGTATAAGAAAAACAGACCAAAACACAAAAACTTAACTATAACCACTGAACCATGAAAATGAGGTCAAGGTCAGACGACACCTGCCAGTTGGACATGTACACCTTACAGTCCTTCCATACACCGAATATACTAGACCTATTGCTTATAGTATCTGAGATATGGACTTGACCACGAAAACTTAACCTTGCTCACTGATCCATGAAATGAGGTCGAGGTCAAGTGAAAACTGTCTGACGGGCATGAGGACCTTGCAAGGTACGCACATACCAAATATAGTTATCCTATTACTTATAATAAGAGAGAATTTAACATTACAAAAAATCTGAACTTTTTTTTCAAGTAGTCACTGAACCATGAAAATGAGGTCAAGGACATTGGACATGTGACTGACGGAATATTGTGTATAGGTTTCATAATGTTTGGTTGGGGCAAACTTAAGTTACAGAATGGAAACTAAAAATTTTGCAATCTTTCGATTTATAAAGGGGCATAACTCAATACTGGTTAAAGTGACACTACCCAAATTCAACTTGATCTGTGTTTTATCAGTGGAAGTCAAAATTAAACATTACATTGTATAAAGCATTGATTGTAGTTGATTCAAATATAATCATGGACAAAGGAAGAAACTCCAATTTTAATAAACTGCTTCGCTGAGCGCAGCTGGATACGCCCGCAGAGGTCCAACCCTGAACAGTTGGGGCAAAAATGGACACAATATTCAAGCTTGATACAGGTCTGAATTAGGATTGTAACTAAACATTTGATATATTACAGGTTTCTGAATAAATGTAGTCAAAGAACTTGAAATTGGTTATATGAAAGACTTCTTGCTGTTGTGCAATACACTGTGCTGTTACGCAATACTTAGTAAATCTGTTGTCAGACGATAAACAAATAAAATCTTTTAACTCGGAAACATAAAATCGAAAATTTATAAAAATCAAAAGGGAGCTTACAAAAATAGATATGTACAATTTACCAAAGTTTCATAAAAAATGCTGAAAGCATTTTTGAGTTATTATCTGAAAACTGGAAAATCCCCCTTTTTGAAATGAATAAAACCCCATAAATCGGAAACGTATAGTCTGAAATATATAATAAAATGCTCCGCTGGGGCGCAGCTTGATACGACCGCAGAGGTCGAACCCGGAACAGTTGGGGCAAGTATGGACACAACATTCAAGCTTGATACAGCACTGAATTTGGATTGTAATTAAATATTTGACACAGCATAGGTTTCTGACACAGAATGAAAGTGGTCTAAGAACTTAAAAAATTTTAATTTACCTATTCAGACCATATCATTATTATTTGCTTTTATATATAAATCAGAAATAACCAATTTAAAATGGAAAATTTTAAAGAAAAAAAAAGGAAAAAAAAATCCCCCCCCCCTAAATTTTTTGAACCCCCTTATGATTCATCACCCCCAAACTCAATCCCAGCCTTCCCTTTGTGGTATGGTACCTTGCAGTACAATTTCAGAGAGATCCATACACTTGAACACAAGTTATTGTCTGGAAACTAGAAAAATGCTTATTTTTGGCCCCTTATTCCTAAACTTTTTGGGCAATTACCCCCAAACTCAATTCCAGCTTTCCCTTTGTGATATGGAACCTTGTAGTACAATTTCATAAAGATCCATACACTTACACACAAGTTAATGTCATGAAACTAGAAAAATGCTTGTTTTTTGCCCCTTTTTGGCCCCTAATTCCTAAAATTTGGAGGCAATTACCCCCAAAATCAATCCCAGCATTCCCTTTGTGATATGGAACCTTGTGGTACAATGTCAGAGAGATCCATCCACTTACACACAAGTTATGTCTGGAAGTTACAAAAATGCTTATTTTTGGCCCCTATTTCCTTAACTGTTGGTACCATAACCCCCAAAATCAATCCCCACCTTCCTTTTGTGTTATTGAACCTTATGGTAAAATTTCATTGAGATCCATTCACTTAAACTAAAGTTAGAGTGCGAAAACTAATGTGTCTTCGGACGACGACGACGACGACGCCGTCATACCAATATACGACCACAAAATTTTTTTTGCGGTCGTATAAAAATCAAAACGGAGCTCATGTCGATAGAAATAAACAATTCACAAAAGTTTCTTGCAAATTGGTGAAATTGTTTTTGAGTTATTGTCTGAAAACTGGAAAATCCCCCCTTTTTTAATGAATAAAACCCCAAAACTCAGAAACGTTAAATCTGAAATTTATAAAAAAACGAATGGGAGCTCACGTCAATAGATATGAACAATTCACAAAAGTTTCATGCAAATTGGTGAAAATGTTTTTGAGTTATTGTCTGAAAACTGTAAAAATCCCCCCTTTTTTAATGAATAAAACCCCAAAACTCGGAAATGGTAAATCTGAAATTTATAAAAAACGAAATGGAGCTCACGTCAATAGATATAAACAATTCACCAAAGTTTCATGCATATTGGTTAAAGCGTTTTTGAATTAATGTCCGACATGTTGACGACGGACAGACGGACAGACAGAGGGACAATGGTATACCATAAATCATGCCAGTACCAAAGCACATTGTATAATTCATACAAAATATCATTGATCTATCACAAGTAGATCCTATCAAACTTACTTAAGCAGAAAACTTAACATTGAAAATTGCTAATTAATTCAAAGTCACTGGACCATGACCTAGGGGGCAGGGTTGGAAATAGTTGACAAACTGAAATATACCACTGGTAATGCAACTTTATATTATATATCAATGATCTATCACAAGTAGTTCCTATCAAACTAACTTAAGCAGAAAACTTAACAATTGTTGACGCTGTTGCCGCAGCCGCAAAAGTAATCCCTATGTCTCGCTTTCCGCAACTATCGTTGCAGGCGAGACAAAAATCAAAAGGTCTAAACATTGGCTGAGGGAGTTTCAACCTTAGTTTATGAACAATTATATAAGTACCAGAAATGTAGAGACAAAATAGATTGTTTAAATCATGCCAGTACCAAAGCACTGACTAAAATATGTCAATACAGTCTATATCTAAAACTTTTGCCCCATGTTATATTATACAAATATAGCCTTTGTATGAGGTCGATACAAGGATATATTGACCTGAAAGAAGTATATTGACTGAGGACGAAGTCCGAGGTCGATATACTTCTTTTGGTCGATATATCCTGTATTGACCTCATACAAAGGCTATATTTGTTATATTATTAATTTTCGACCATATTTGTATCAAAATCGTCATTTGATTTTGTTGGAATTTTATAGATATTATATTGTCTCCTTGACAATAACAACATATTAGTTGTTATTTCATTTACTTTTTTTTGTTTGTTTGACATCTTATGTATTTGAAAAAAAATTTTTGTCAAATAATCGATCACAGATGTCATTTGTTTCAAAACGTTGAACAATATCCTGAAATTCATTACATGACGTCACAAAGTATATCGGTTTTTAGATATTCTAAAAATAACCGTGCAATATGCATTTTGCTGTGCAATATGCTTTTTGCTATCCGCCGTTTTCTCTCTACCTTCGAAAATATAGTTTAACATGTGACTATCCCTAAACGAATCAAATTTGTTAAAATATACGAATTAATAATATATATAGATATTAATTTGGTATTTGTAAATTAATAATTGATTTTTTAAAATTCATTTGATTTCAGAATGGGAAATAAAGAAATGTACCTCCTGACGTGACATCGGTGGAAGATGTAGGTCTTTTAGTTCCGGTTACAAATTCAATCTGGAAAATAAAGCTTTCTATAGTCCTTCAAATATTCTTGCTTATTTTAAAAAGCTTCATGAATATGGAAAAAAAGAAGTTTACCCTAAAACATTTCTCTACATATTTTTCGTTGGATACCAATTTTGGTGGATTTCAAAGGTAAAGGTGAAACACAAATTTAAATGTTTAACGGTGTACAAATTTTATAAAGGCTTGTATGCAAACTTTGGCAAAACCACAAAAAACTCTTATAATACATTAACCTTTGGTTATGCTCTATAAGAAATATCGCAGCTTTACAATTAGAGGATATTTTTTTTTTATTTCTGACAGCTTCTTTAAAGATCTTTTGGAGAGAATTGAAACTGACATTAAATTTCCATTTTAAAGATCTTTGGAGATAATTGAAACCTGACATTATATTTCCTCTTTAAAGATCTTTTGGAGATAATTGAAACCTGACATTATATTTCCTTTCAGTAAAAAAGTAAATTAGGGTAAAAAATATTACTCAAAAAGAAATTGACCCTAAAGTATAAACCATCTAACTTTACGACAGCCAGGATTTTTCTTATGGAATGAATATTGTATGGTTTATTTTGAAGACATGTAAAGAAATTTCTAACTCTTTTACTAGCAACCTAAGAGTTGGGATTAAATTTTAAGCCTTGAAAGATATCTTCATCAATCATATTCATTACATAGCCTTGTAATGACAGTTCTTTTTAAAATATGGTATGTACATTGCAATAAAAGTCCCTTCATAGACAGGATTCTTTGGGCAATCTTGAAACTTCCATTGAAAAAAATATACATTCGCTTCATACCTTTGTTCGATCTTTTCTTTCTTTCTCTCTTTTCTCCATTTCAACTTTTTGAGCTTTGTCTGAAATAAATCGTTTGTGATATTTTTCTTAATATATATATTTGTGGCCGTTTCTTTCAAGTAGTTCTTACTATGTTAGAATATTCAGATAAAATATGAATATACTTCTATGTTGTGAAAATTATATCTAAATTTTAGGTAACCTCACAAAGTAAACATTCAAACTGCATATATAAGTAACAGATTCTGGAACCATAGTTTTATGAAAAAGATGTTTTCATTAAAGGTCAAAAGTAATTGTCTTATAGATCAGTGATTATGTTTTTTTTACAAGATATGCGTTTTCTTTTTCATTCCAGTAACTGACAATACTTACCTAATTGATCGTAGAACGATTCTTTACCCCAAGCATGCGGATCAAATACCTCCTAGAAATAAGAAAAAAAGTCAAGATACTTTTAATATTTTTTAATTTGATGGATTTATATCTGACAGAACTTTAAAACAATCAAACTTTTGATAACTTTAAATAACATTAATAGTACCAATTTTTCTGCACCAGATGCACATTTCGACAATAAACGTCAATTCAGTGATGCTCAAGGCCAAAATATGTGGAAGAGAATATGAGAAGCTTCAAGATATTAACAGTAGTAGATGACTATCAAGTGCTAACATAGAACTTTTGGTAAAATTTTAGCTATTCAGAGAGAGAGAAAGCAGCCTTGAAATTTTTCAGCCTGTGTGGTACATTTTGGCAATACATGTAGTGTCAAACACTAGTTGTTTGCATTTGAAATGCTTTCATTTGGTATATGTAATAATTAAATAAATCAAAGACGAGTAGTTTCTTGAAAATTATTTCACAAAATACTTACAGCAGGATAATTTGATCCCTTTTCATCTATTCCAATAAACTCTATTAACTTCTCATAAATACTGAAAAGAAAATAACACATAGTTCTAAACAACAATTTAAACTTGAACTTTATACTTAATGAAAATCCTTGTTTTATTTTTACAGTTGTAAGGAAAACCACTGAGCATTAAAGCAAGTAATAAACAGAAAGCTTTGTTCTTCCTTGTACAGGAATGAGAAAAGCTATTGACTTTACTGATGAAATATCGTATTTGTAAAGCACCAAATCTTTTGGTACATACTTATACAACAGTGATTCATATATTATATGTAAAGAATAAACTATAGGTAGCAGACCTGTTTTATTATAATTTTGAAGCACGCCTTCTAAAGAATTATAGGAGGTCTCCCTTAAATTAAGATATCCAAAAATAAATGGGGAATGTGTCTATGGGATGCTGATGATGCCCCCACTTGCATATAACGTTATAAAGGTACCTAACTCAAGAACAGTAAAAGTGACGCCACCCAAATTCGAAATTGATCTGAGTTTTGTGGTAATAAGCATTGTGCATAAGTTTCATAACATTTGGTTGAGGTAAAATAATTTAAGGACGTACGTACAGACGGATGGTCACAGACGGACAAGGGTAACACTTAATGCCCCCTCCGCCGTGGCAGGGGCATAAAAATAAAACTTTCTTAGGAATGTAATTACTAAACATTGGCAACCATACCACATCTCCTTATTTTTATAAGTATTAAAATTTACCATGTGACAAAAGGGTCTATTAACTCCAGGGATCAGATGGATAACATAACCCATCCAAAGAACATTATTACAGCATTTATATTTAAATGTCATATCATTAAGTAAATTATGACTTGCTATGGAGAAAACTAGATCACAACTCCCCATTGCATAACACTGTAATAGTTCTTTATTAGGCAATGGTGACTCATAGATCATGACAACAACAACTATGTTCGAAATTTTTTCACTGGTCTATGCTGACCAGAAAGTGGTCCTTTGAAAAATGACATGATAATGGAGATAAGATGAAGGGTTTTATATAAACAATATATGTGAATTGTTGGAAAATACAAAAAAAAAATGCATCAGCTAAAGTCTAAAAAAATCTGAGCTTTTCTCCTGTACTGTAGCCACATATGCTTATCTATTGTGCTTTTTTAGGAAATGTTTATACATTATAAGAAGGTTTAAGTATTAACACATCGTGTTTAATTATATTTTCAGTTCAATTTTAACAAAATAATAAGATAATTACCTTGGATTTCTGAAGTCTTTCCTTCTTTGTATTTTATCATTCATATCTAAACCTTTTCTCATCTTTTCAAACAAACCAGATATTTTGTCCTGTAACAAAACAACTCATTCTTTTAAATTGAAAGACAAAAAGCATGGCGACCTTCAACTGCAGTTCAAAGGTAGAATAAACACTTAACAAGTAAAACTATACAATGTATCATCTGATTATAGGAAACCCATGTGTAAATCTTTCTTAATCCATCTATAACATCAGGGTTTTAATTATAATTTTTATTGAGATTTGAACTTGCCCAATATAAAATTTAACCGTAGTCAATTCTCATGAAATATAGCTCATTATCTACTGCCTTGAATGGAGGCTAATATACATATCAAGAAGAACTTTTACACCAAGTTTTATGAATGTAGGCTACATAATATATGCAAACAGAATTCTGGTACATGACTTAATATCAAGTCAACTTAGCAAGAAATGAAGTTCAGAGGGACTACTTTTTGTGGGTTGCTGTTAAACTCCCCATTAAACATCTTTACATCAAGATGCCCAAGGGCAATTATAAGTACATGTTTAACCCAGACGCATTTTGCGCCTGTCCCAAGTCAGGAACCTCTATAGTCTTTGTTAGTCTTGTGTGTTTTTTTTTTAATTTTGGTTCATTTGTATGTTTGGAGTTTAGTGTGGCATATATTTCAATAACTAGTATACATTATTGTTTAGGGGCCAGCTGAAGCCCGCCTCTGAGTGTGGGATTTTCTTGCTGCATTAAAGACCCATTGGAGGGCTTCGGCTGTTTTCTGCTCTTTGGTCCGGTTGTTGTCTCCACACATTCCAGGTTTCCATTCTCTGTTCTAGATGAAATCTAATTTAGGCCATAAAACTTAACTTGTCTGAAATGAAGGTCAAAGTGACATACTTATAGTTGAGGCTGTTACATTTTCCAACTGTCTGATATTATAGACTATACTGACCTGTAATTTAGCTGGACATTTCCCAGGTGGAGCTGGTGGAATCTCTATTTCATCAAAAGACTTGTTAAGCATACTTCTTGATAGTGATGCTGAAAATGAGTACCAATTATCAACATTGATACACAGTTATAATTAGGGAGATAGGTTTATATAAGAGCACTGCTCTTGTTTCCTAATCCCATTTTTGAATTACATTGTACTTGTATATTTCGTATTTACTTATTCTTATAGTTATACAAGTTATTATATAAAGTATGTTTACAGAATTATAATTACACATTATTAACACTACCATAGCTGGAGCTAATTGAAACTGAAATCATTGTCATGTAAGTGGAAGATTTGGCATGCTGTAAAACTAGTTCAACACTTTCTTTCAAATGTACCTGTATAAAGTCAGGACTATGATACATGTGATAGTCAATTCCAAATTGTTCTCAAGAGGATAATTTGATGATATTAATTAGCAGTGGTATAAATTCACATTGATACAAAGAAATCAGTACATTATGGGCTATCCCTTCCCTTGACCATTTATTGCTAAGTGTGTTGGAACCTGTGTATATATCGTTTAATTATGGATGTTGTTTTAAAAATAGTTTCTATCTGGTATCAAATCCCAAACTAATAAATCCATATCAGGGTATTTCAGGGACTTTGATGATCAGGAGAAGGGACATCATATCAGTGGATTCTCATAACACTCTCTCTATAGAAATATTACAATATTTTCACTAATTTCATTAAATGGTTTGTTATTCACATTTGGAGGAAACTTTTAATATGATTTGTAGCTTCAGATCTTAACTGGAAGATCATACATGTATAGGTTGTGGTTGCTTTGGTTTTTCCAAAGTTAACTTTTAACCTTTGTATGAATGACTGTCTACATAGTAATGTAAACATGTATGTAAAACATTTAATCTTTAACTTACAGGCCTGTTCAGCATTCAATGATGTAGTTCTATCCACTCTCTGTCAATAAAATATATAAACATTACAAATTATACCAAAACATAGACAGAAATTCATGCAATTAAGTTATACAATTATTTTGCATTTTACAACACAAACACAGGATATCTAAAAAATAGTGATTGTTTCAACATAAAGGTTAATGTATCAAGTGACATTTTCTATACATCTGTCTAGTCTTTCTCTAAGGCTGACAGGAGAGTAAAGCAAATGGAATCATTCAAACAGATTTCTGCTTCAAATTTTTTATGGCTATTCTATTTTGACCACTTAATCCTGCTGTAAACATATGGACATGTGACTTTAAACATATGTTGATATTTTCATGGAAACAATTTGATGTTAATCCCAACCATGCCAATTTTTTTGGCTGTTAATAATGTGACAGGTGTTATGAGATAGAATCTGAAAAACAGATTAACTCAGAAGTATTGTCATACAATGGGATTGCACATTTTCTTGCATCTTAAAGGGAACATATATTTGACTCAATATCAATCAAGATGTCTCATTTGCATATTTCAAAAAGTTTTAACAAAAAATGTCCCCAAGAAGTTTTATTTTGCTAAATACTATTTTGTTCTCAAATGTATCTGAGCATGCATAAGTGCAAGAAGATACATCAGCGGACCAATGTATTCAATCTACACAGAAATAACAAATAATCATAATACTATTGTATCCAGAGATTGAATTTTGAAAAAGAAATAAACCAGACAGGGTTACTGTTCTTTAAATCAACTGTTTAAAAAAATAATTTTCCCATTACTAATTATTTTCCTCACAACTTATATCAATGTTGACTGAATGGAAGAATAATTGCTTTGTTGCCAAAATGTGCAACTTTCGCTGCACTTGCGTGTAAATACAGTGTTCCTATTTACTTAACATCACTATTTTTTGCTAAGGCCAAAAAAAAAATATGTGTCTGTTTAAGGTTACATCATTAAAAAAATAGGGTAGGTAGGTCGGTATTTCCATTTTATTCTATTTTTTCATTATATTTTTTGCGACATGAATATGAGTAGTGCGATCCGTCTTGTCGTGGTCTGAGTTGTCCATGGGGTAGGTTTACCCGTATTTTTAATGATTGGATTATTTCCCTTTGTTATTGATTGGAAAAAAATGGTGGCAAAGTGTTTACTTTCATCACACGAGTCATGAATTTCCTTAAAACAGCTGTCATATTCACCATTGTGAACATTAGAATGTATCAGGCATTTGATTTCTTTTACTGGCAACTCTAACTTCGCTATTGACACAAGTTCAATTAATTTTTCACTTTACGACGGAAATAAAATGTCTTAGGGTTGGCACTCAAATGCAGGGTCAGTCGGTAACCATAAACAGACATATATTTTTTTGGGACTTATACACATTTTATACAATCTACTTTTTTAGTGATGCGGAAGTTCCCCAGTGTAGTTTTGAGTGTAAGGTTTTGTGGACTATTGTTCCTCTCTTTTTTTTTCCATTTTGCTTTCGTATTGTATGTCCTTAATTGATGTATGATTTTTTATTTTGTTTTTTCCTATATAAATAAGGAGATGTGAAATTATTGCCACGCAACTTATAATCAAACAGAGTCAAAATGATATGGATATAAGCAAATTTAGGTCACTGTATGGCCTTCAACAATCAGCAAAATCAATATGAAAAATTCTGAAAAAATCATTGAGATGGGAGCCATCTCTGTGGACCCCGCTGTAAATAAAAGGTTACTATTTGACTATTAAAGATGTTAGTGGTTGAATCACTCGGACGGATCGACAGACAGACTGACTGACGGACCTTTGACCTAGGAAGTTGTACATACATTATGACACATCCTCTGGTGTTGGTCAATATACATGTCAAGTGTAAACTTTGAAATCATAACAGTTCTCAAGATATAGAGCGGACATGATCTGTACCATAGGACATGGGGTTGTCAACTGAAACCAAAGTTTTTGACCTTGACCTTTGACCTAGGACTTTGTACATACATTGTGACACACCCTCTGGTGTTGGTTAATATACATGTCAAGTATAAACTTTGAAATTCATAACGGTTCTCAAGATATAGAGCGGAAACAATCTTTACCATAGGACATGGGGTTGTCAACTGAAACCAGTTTTTGACCTTGAACTTTGACCTAGGAAGTTGTACAAACATTATGACACACCCTCTGGTGTTGGTTAATATACATGTCACATGTCAAGTATAAAGTATTAAATTATAACGGTTCTCTAGATATAGAGCGGACACAATTTGTTACAGACGGAGGGACGGACAGACTAATCACTATAGGGCGACCCGCCACTAGGCAGGGCCCTAATTTAAATGGGAGACACCAATTAATTTCTGTTTCATTTATAAATATCTAACTTTTCCTAGTCCTAGTCCTAGCAATTTCTCCTCAGAGGATATACAAACCTTTTCTGGTCCATACAAACTCTCCTCTTCCTCTTCTTCCTCCTCAGAGGATATACTCATATCATCTTCATCACCTTCCTCTTCATCTAATCCATAATTAGATACCAGTCTTGTTACTGTCATGTAAAAAATAACATATGTTATACACATGAAAGAATGATACAAAGTCTGGCTTTTAATCTGCTGCAGAACAATGAAAATGAGTCATGTCATCTGTATTTTCAAAAAGTTTTTCAACAATTTTTTATTAGTCATCAGTGACCTGTTGCAAAGTAAAATGTCTTACCCTATTCAACATGTCATTACTTTCCAGTGTCAAATAGCCCCAACTATCCTCTGTTCATCCTTCCTAAGCACAGTGATCATGGTGATCATGATGGATGGTTGTTTAACGTTCAGTAGCAAGTTAAATGCATACTCAGGACTAGAACATGTTAATGTGATATGAATTTGAACCCTGCTTTATTATAAAACTAGACCAACTCTTGAGCTTTGCTAGTTCACAAAGTAACTGCCCACAGGAAGACATGTCACACTTCCAAGACAATCAATTCTTTGCTCTTACTCCTAAATGCCTCATCCTAAGTTACGTAGCAGCATATACCAATTTTCAAGTCTTTCGCTGTGAGAAGACGAAATAATTTACTGTTGACCAAGACTTGAAAGGCCTGATACAAAGGATTCCAGTAACAGAAATATGTGTGTTATACAAGGCTTCCAAAATGGTCATATATTCCGGACATTTGTATAATGTCCGGTAAAAGTCCGGCTGGGCAAAGCACGAAACAGTCATCTACTTTTTATTTTTCAAGGCTTTCTTAAGAGACGGTCATTTTAACATAATTTACGATCTTTTTGACCCAACCTTTTGCCTTTAACAGCCACACATTTCCGGTCATAAAAGTGACATGATCATTAAGTACTATCAAAACAACCCCTACTTTAATACCTTCTCATTTTAATCAAGGCTAATTAGTTGTCGAACAGCTGAAATTTACCTGTTCAGGTGACAGGTAAACTATTTTGAATTTTATCATGCATCCTAATTTCTTAAAAAAATGCTTAAATTGTCATTGATACCTTTATCTCACGTTTATTTCGAATATTTTCTTGAAGAAATAACGTAGAATGAGCTACTTACACTCATTCATGCTTTGCAAACGTAAACGGAATTTACGTACCCGTCTCTGGTCCATGTTTTACCATTGTCAAGATAACATCCGGTTTCAGATTAAAAACGAAAGTAAAGTTTTTGACAACGTTATTTTGCACAAATAAAGAGTCTAAGGCAGATATAAGTACGCTGATCTTGCACACTTCGGATGATGCACTGCCAATTTAAAAGTTTACTTCGAATTTGAATCAAAGAGAGTTTAATATCGTTTTTTTAAAATATCAATCATTGGGATGGCCAACTCGGCAACTGATTACCATAATTGCCTTTTGTTTATTTAGTCTTAAGGGATTAAAATCAGGAAAATATATAAAATGTCCGGCTGGCTAAAAATAATTTTGGAAGCCCTGGTGTTATACACCATTTTATAGATAATTTAATGTTGATTTATGACATAACAAGTTACAGTAGGATAGACAACTGCAGAATTTGAAATATTACAAACATTTGCAACCCACTGTCATTTCTAAAAGATGCAGGTTGGGTACCTTGTGTCTTAATAAAGTACATGTATATAGGGTTTTTTTCAGAGAAAAGTGCTCATGCCACTTCCACTTTTGTATTTTTTTGGCAACAGGAGTCTTGAAATATACATATATTTTTGGCCTGAACAACATAAAATATTTCATCTTTTGGGAATTTGATAAGACAAATTCATTATTGTTGCATGATTACTTTTTCTATGTGGTTTTGGTTTTGGTGCAGTGTCCTGTGCCTGTGGGGTTGATTCAGATTTGCTGTTTTCATCTTCCAGTTCTAGGGTTGTAACAGGTTGTGATGGTGGTCTTGAATCTTCATCTTCATCATCAGAAATATTGTCAACAGATGCTATGTTTACAATGCCTTCATCGTCAGATTTGTCAGATTTGTCGTCATATGAGGCTAATGAAGCCATTGCAGCTGTACTGTCGATTCTCTCCATTTTTGAAAAGTTATGTATGACTCAATTCAAGAATTTCTATCAGTATAGAGAAAATTTAGGCAAATACCATCACTGCAAATGTGTCTATGTCTAACTCTAAGCCAACATATATACACAGTCACAGTTGTATCTGACAGGTACAGAACATTTACTGATTAGTTATAAAATCCAAGATTTCAAGCATAATCAAACATCAGATGGTTAAAGGTATGGAATATGTTATAAGATAATCAATTAGAAAGATCTACGGTCATTTATGACACATTAATCATTAAATTTGTGAAAAAAAAAGAAATTTCTTTGAAACGTTGCTTTTATATCTCAGGGTCGAATATTTGCTCTGTAAGAAGCATAAATTTCAGCCATTATAAACGTTTGCGTGATTAACGATATTTTTTAGTTAATATTTTGTTTTCGTATTCAGTATCGAAATTGAATAATGTTTTGTAGTATAATATGTTCATTTAAAACCGTATCTATTTTTCTTTACCTAACTATGAGTGAATTTTGATAAAATATTTAAATTTACTGTTAGACATTGTTTCGAATTTTGTCAACTGTAAACAAAGCATGCGCTGAATTCTTATGGCTTGAAAAGTTGTTTACATCGTTTCCTGGGAAATATTATTAGAAATTTTATAACTATTGGTTAATTTTCTAATGACATCAAACATTTTCACAAATGTTTTATAGTCGCTAGTCCACTGGAGCAAAATGACCTTGCAGGTAAATGCAGTGACTGGCAGCTGTCACTACAGACAGGCAGTAGTACTGATCTGTTGAGACAAAGTAAAAGCATGGTCTCGACCAAGCATGGCATATTTTATCATTTATTTGTCGGCTTAAGGAGTCTATTATGCATTATGAGTGTAAAGAAATTAACAAGATTGCACTAAAAATGACTAAATGCATGACAATATAAAAATAAGGAGATGACTGAGGGTCGTAATGGGGGTACTTTCATGACGAATAACGGCAAAAAATCTTGCCAAATGACGTTAACGGTAATTTTTGGTGCATGACGATAAAATGTACACTTTTTTTAAGACGAAAAAAAAAATCGACTGATTTTGACGAATCACGTTAAATTTTTTCCAAAAATAACGGTAACAGTAATTAGTTGAGATCTCTGACGAAATACAATAAGGATATTTAGACGAATCATGGTAAAATTTTAACCAATTTGACGCTAACGGTAGCTGAAAATGACTGTTTGACACCTTCTCTCATGACATAAATGTGGTATGATTGTTTATGTTGAACTAATTTGAACAGTATTTTACTAAAATACAGAATAGCAGAAAGTATTAGCTTAGTGTTCCTGTTTATCAAAGAATTTAAAGGAAAACTGTAATGTTTGTGATCAACTGAAAATTACTCCTAATTAACCTGTACACACACATAAAATGTATTTATTTAGAAAATAAGCTGATCTATTCAATATTAAGCATTTTTAAAATAAGCTTAACAAATCATATTTCCATGTTTTTCCCATTTCAAGGGATATTGCTGAAAAGGAAAAACAGGACCTTGTTTAATGCTGGGGGAGGGGTATTTGTATTTATCCCAAATTAAAATAAGCCTAAATGACTAATCAACAGGCTGGCAATTACTAATGCTGTCTTGTATATAAAGATTAAAAGTGCTTTGTAATTTGACAGTAGAAAAAAAAAATGTTAAACAGGTTGGGGAGATCCTCATAAATGGGTGTTATACCCCAAAACCGCATTCAATTTTCAGTGATAAAAATATATATTTCGGATTTCAAGATATTTGCTGTCATGGCGCAAACATTTCAGGTAAATGACAACATCTTGTCCAAAGACGCCATGACTGAAATATCATCAGGTTAAAATTTAATAACCTTTAAAAAGAAGGTTTTGCAGAAGCCATATCCTTGTACCGTAGAAAGGCTTGTATAGTCCGCGGTTTTATTCTCCAAAATTGGACCTTCCAGACGGGGTGCGGACTATAGAGTACAATAAGCAAGAAATAAGAGAAAAATTTCAATTTCGCGGTCGAGGTGGTTTGTTTATGTTCCGCCATCTTTGTTATTTCTATTGTAGAGGGCGCTCTTATCATTTTTCAAACTAATAATTTTAACTCATCCATATTAATAAGTTATTTCTATTCAATATCAAATTAATACTGATAAATATAAAAAGTAAACCTTTCATTACAAATTTCTCATTTCTTTTCAATGCATTGGTTGAAATAAACTGGTATCTGCTCGATTGAAACGATACAAACATAATGAAAAAGACAACCGTAAACCAGCTTAGAATTTGTAAACTACAAAACGAAATCGGTTATTGTTCGTTCCGTTTTGGTGTTTCATACTGACTAATATGGTTTGTATTAGCTTAAGACCCTTCAACATTAATGTGATATATATATTAAAGACTGTTTTACAAAAGGATGGAACTGTTTTACTTTCAAAGTCGTATTATAGTGATATCTGTTATGTACGGATTTCGACTCTCACCGGTTAATTTCTTCTTTTACACGTGCTTTTTAAACTTCCTGTTTAAACATACACAAGTTTCTAATTTGTTTTCTAAGTAATTTAAATTATTTTAACAATCATGAAGCGTTCTAGAATCATTAACAAGCAGTTTCAGCTTCTGTTTGATGATGGAAAACAGGTTTTTCCAAGGAAATACCGCAAACAACCGCACAGGATTTGAAATTACCGGAGTTTCATTAGACCTTTTCTAACAGTTACAAAAAGTTTTTTTACCTAAAATTTCGTGGGGAGAAGGGGGTGCGGACTATGTACCACTGCGAACTATACAAGCCTTTCTACGGTATCCCATTTTCATTTGAACTATGATTTTAAAGGGGAAAATGTTGCCATTTATATGAATGTTTGCTCCATGACAGCCTTTATGATAAAACACAAACAGGAACCTATTGTTCAGTGGTTGTCGTTTGTTGGTGTGGTTCATAAGTGTTTCTTGTTTCTCGTTTTTTATATAGATTAGACCGTTGGTTTTCCTGTTAGAATTGTGTAACACTAGTCATTTTGGGGCCCTTTATAGCTTGCTGTTCGTTGTGAACCAAGGCTCTGTGTTGAAGGCAGTACTTTGACCTATAATTGTTTACTTTTTACACATTGTGACTTGGATGGATAGTTGTCTCATTGGCACTCATACCACATCTTCTTATTTATATTTGACTTATTATCACTGTTAATTGATACCCGATCTTGGGTGTAATACCCATTAATGGGGTTAGTACCCCTATATGAGGACTTCCCCATTCTGCTAAACATTACTATACACATGCATATCTGCTAACTTTAGATAATCTCCATGGGGGTTTTGTATGTGACAAAATTTTTAAGGGTTACAATTTTTGCAGCTTTTTTGCATGTTTTTTTTTCTTTCCTTCAGATTAAGCGCCATACATTGTTATTTCTTCTTTTTTTCTTATTGCATACATGTACTGCTGATGAAGTTACCAGCCTTTCTTTCCTTTTTATAAAATGCATGATTCTTGCCTTTTTTTATTTTGAGGAATAAATAGAAGATTACTAGAAAAAACCTTTCTTTTGTAGCAATAAGCATGATAAGTGAAAGCTGACATATATACATGGATCACAATACCTCAGAATCATTGGGGGAAGTGACTAGAACTTGATTTAAAGCTGATACAGAGAAGTGGTGAGACTGAAACAGAAGTGCTTGTTCTCTGACAGTGCTGTACATAGTGTTTGGATTTTATAATGATATTCTTGCCATTTATATCCTACTTTTTTTATTCATCTTTGTACTTTCTGAATTCATTTTATTTTATGCCTAAATCCTGTAAGTTGGCAGGTATGCACATGTTTATATTAAGGTTATAATACCATAATGATTTTATATAACTTAAAGACCGTTTTTTTAATTTTGATAAGAAGGTAAATCAAGAGAATTTGATTATTGAAATTTATATATGCATGTAAATTTAAATTCCTTTATTATTCTGTAAATTCAGAAATTATTGAGATTGTTGAACAATCTACAAAAATCAGAGTTTGATTATTAAGATTTCAGGAAATGCTGCATAGGGCCATAAAAAAGAATATGTTTGTTTGCCCTAACCCTACCTACCCAGAAAATAGCTGCCTACTCAAAATCTTTTATTGCCCTGATGTGAAAAAGTTTGTTTTTTAATCAGATAGTCATGAATACTAAAAAACATCTGACACTTCAACCTCTCTTTGCCGAAAAAAGAAAAGAAAATACCTACCTACCTACCCACCGTCTCTACCTTTGGGTAGACTTTGGGCAAACCAAAATACTTTTAAGTGTGGCCTAGAATAATGCATTTAAAATATGTATTTTTGCAACATCTATCTCTTCACAATTTTCGCAACAATAAAACTGCAAAAAATTCTGAATTTACAGTAGTCAAATATATATGGATTTTATAATTTATTTTATTTGATTTCAGGTTATATAAAGAAATAAGATGTCAATGATGTCAGAACAAGAAGTGAATGTTAGAGTGGCAGTAAGGGTAAGATACAATATTCCCACTTTGGTTTTTATATGCCTGCTAAAAATAGGGAGATATGGTATGATTGCCAATGAGACAACTATCCACCAAAAATCAAATGAAGTGGATGTAAGAAACTATAGGCAACCATACTGCCTTCAACAATGAGAAAAATCCATACTGTATAGTCGGCTATAAAACGCCCCAACATGAAAAATATGAAAGAATTCAATTGAGAAAACTAATGGCCTAATTTATAACAAAACAATTTACGAAAAACAAATATGACAGACATGAACCAACAACAACTACTAAACTTCAGGCTCCTGACTTGGGACAGACACACAAAGAATGTGGCGGTGTTAAACATGTTTGTATTCGCTCAAACCTCCCCCTAACCTAGGACAGTGGAGTTACAGTACAACATAAGAGCACATTATAAAAATCAGTTGAAAAACTCATCAGATCGATACAAAGCAGAAAAACATCTTACAAAAACACATACTACATACATAGACATATTATAGTAAGACACCATAAAAAGGAGAAACAATTTTTGTCAGTGGTCAAGACAAAATTTCAGTTTAGTATTGATTTCTAATAACTGCCCAAAAAATCAGTGTGCTTTATTTTTGCATGATGATAATTGATGGGAGGATAAGGTCTTACAATATTTCTATTGTAGATTACCAATTTTATATAATATAAATTCAAGTAATGTAGCACACAGACATGACAAAAAATGCACTTAGAAAAAATCTATGCTATTACATTTCATGAAATACATTTGTTACATTTAATTTTATAATTAAAATGGGTTGCTGCATGCATTCAAAGGTTGATTCTTCCTTTTACCAGTGCTTATCATAGATACTTCTCATTTTATTGAACAGCTCTAATGTCCAGAATACTTCTTACATGCATTTGAGTAAAAATATCTTTAATCAGTCAGATAATAGTTGTGAATTTTCTTTTGAGTCATGAATCATGAGTTTAGAGTGTTTTCTTGGACAAACCAAGTTTATTGTTTCCATGTACATGTATGATACATATCTTGCAGCAAGGTTAAACCTTTAGTACTGCAGTTGGGGCTAGCAGTTTAGTAACAAAGTTTTGTGTGAAATTGTAATTGATAATCAGCTATTTCTTTAAAAACAGGTTAGACCTTTGCTGCCCAAAGAGAAAATTGCTGGAGAAGAAATGTGTGTACGAATAATACCGGCGACAAATCAGCTTGTGTTGGGGAAAGACAGGGCTTTTACATTTGATCATGTGCTGTCTTCTAAAACTACACAGGTAAATATGATTATCATATTTAGTGGTTACATTGATGAATAAATTAATAAATAGACGAGAAACAGCAATTAGTAAAATATTCTTTATTTAACCTTCAGATGTGTAATGATATTGTTGTGATATAAGCTATATTTAAATATATTCTTATTTAAAGCATTAAATGTTTGACTTTCACCAGATAGTTCTACATAATAAATAACAAAAATATACAAATGTATATTTAAGTCACTAGCTGTTTCTGTTTTTGAGGATGCATTGTTTTTGTTATGTTCCAACCCTAAACCAGATTTACAATTACATTCAAACTTGAGACAAAATATATTGTTTGACATCATGTATGGTATACTGACTTTTCATGTCAGTTGGTTACTTTTTACCAGAGTGGCTGGGGGAAGGAGGAGGGTATATGTTTTTAAGTCAAAAACAATTGTGTATTTGTCTATGATTTTTTATTCTTTGTATATTTCAGGATGAAGTGTATAAATCGTGTATTGATCCCTTGGTAAATGGTATATTTGAGGGCTATAATGCTACAGTTTTTGCCTATGGTCAAACAGTAAGTACCTCCCAAGTATATAAATCCTGTATTGGTCCCTTAGTGAATGGTATATTTGAGGGCTTTAATGCTACAGTTTTTGCCTATGGTCAAAAAGTAAGTACCTCATAAGTTCATTGAAATTAAAGAAATATCAGTGCAAAATAGTATGTTTGTAATGTTTTTATATTCAGAATAAATATGGTTAGTGCATGTGAAAAATATTGACTGCAATGTTAATTTTTTTCTCAGGGTTCAGGAAAAACTTATACAGTTGGAGATGGGATATCTTCCTTTACAGATGAAGAATATGGAATCATACCCAGGGCATTGAAAGCCATATTTGATAATATGCAGGTAAAAGTTATACATAAAAAAATGGTCGCTATATTTTTATTTCACTTTGGTACCTGTTTTATACATGTTTGAATGTATTCAAATGTATTGCAGTGTAGTTTGCAGCAGATTTAATGAAAGTTACATCTGATACAAAATAAAGTTCTCACTCTAAAAGAGATGCAGAGGATACCAAAGGGATAGTCAAACTCATAAGTTGGAAACAAACTGACGATGTCATGGAAAAAAAATGAAAAACAAACTGACAATGCCATGGAAAAAAAAAAATGAAAAACAAACTGACAATGCCATGGAAAAAAAATGAAAAACAAACTGACAATGCCATGGCAAAAAAATGAAAAACAACCAAAAGACAAACAACAGTCTACAATACACAACATAGAAAACTAAAGACTGAGCAGCATGAACCCATCAAAAAATGGGGGTGATCTCTGGTGCTCTGAAAAGGTAAGCAAATCCCGCTCCACATGTGGCACCAGTTGTGTTGCTCATGTAAGTTCAAACCTGGTGATAAGTCTAATTCAGAAGGTCACATTCTAGGATTAGAGGGCTGGATTGTTATTGGAACTTATCCGTCGTAATCTGTGACACAGATATTCCATAATGATCAACCAGCTCAAAATGTCTAATGTTCACTTGTTATTAAATAATGCTATGTGCCATTATGGATCTGTGTAAAAGTTTTGAAGTGGTGTTGCAGAAACTGATCAATCTTATTTTAATTTTCAGTCCAATACTACCACTGAGTTTTCTGTAAAAGTGTCATACATAGAGATATACAAAGAAGAGTTACAGGACTTGTTAGATGTTGATACTTCAAGTAAAGAACTACATGTCAGAGAGGATGATCAAGGCAACACAGGTAAGGTGTCATACATAGAGATATACAAAGAGGAGTTACAGGACTTGTTAGATGTCGATACTTCAAGTAAAGAACTACATGTCAGAGAGGATGATCAAGGCAACACAGGTAAGGTGTCATACATAGAGATATACAAAGAAGAGTTACAGGACTTGTTAGATGTCGATACTTCAAGTAAAGAACTACATGTCAGAGAGGATGATCAAGGCAACACAGGTAAGGTGGTCACTATAAACAGGGTAAGAGAGGATGATCAAGGCAACACAGGTAGGGTGGTCATTATAAACAGGGTAAGAGAGGATGATTAAGGCAGCACAGGTAAGATGGTCACTATAAACAGGGTAAGAGAGGATGATCAAGGCAACACAGGTAAGGTGGTCACTATAAACAGGGTCAGAGAGGATGATCAAGGCAACACAGGTAGGGTGGTCTCTATAAACAGTGGAAGAGAGGATGGTCAATGCAACACTGATAAAGGTGGGCGCTGTAAACAGGGTCAGAGAGGATGATCAAGGCCACATAGGTGGGTGATCACTATAAACAGGGTAATGGGGAGGATCAAGGTAACACAGGTAGGGTGGTCACTATAAACAGGATAAGAGAGGATGATCAAGGTAACAGGTAGAGTTGTCACTATAAACAGGGTAAGAGAGGATGATCAAGGCAACACAGGTGAGGTGGTCACTATAAACAGTGTAAGAGAGGATGGTCAATGCAACACTGATAAAGGTTGGCGCTGTAAACAGGGTCAGAGAGGATGATCAAGGCCACATAGGTGGGTGGTCACTATAAACAGGGTAAAAGGGACGATCAAGGTAACACAGGTAGGGTGGTCACTATAAACAGGGTAAGAGAGGATGATCAAGGTAACAGGTAGAGTGGTCACTATAAACCGGGTAAGAGAGGATGATCAAGGCAACACAGGTGAGGTGGTCACTATAAGCAGTGTAAGAGAGGATGGTCAATGCAACACTGATAAAGGTGGGCGCTGTAATCAGGGTCAGAGAGGATGATCAAGGCCACATAGGTGGGTGGTCACTATAAACAGGGTAAAAGGGACGATCAAGGTAACACAGGTAGGATGGTCACTATGAACAGGGTAAGAGAGGATGATCAAGGTAACAGGTAGAGTTGTCACTATAAACAGGGTAAGAGAGGATGATCAAGGCAACACAGGTAACACTGATAATTGAAGTGAATAATAATTATATATAAAAATAAGAAACTGATGTAAAGAATTGGTCAAAATTGTTGTCAATCAATCAATCTGTAAATCTGTGAATGAGCAAGTATAATTATATAATAACTGGTCCTTTTCACATGCTGTTTTCTATCTCAAACTGTTGTACATGTAGCTGTTTAAATAGGCTACAATTAGAAAGTTTTCTTACCTTTAAGAAAAGTCTAGTGGCATCAGAATTACAAAAGGGAAAATTTTGTTCAAGATATATAACCATGAACAACTACATGATATAATTATATTAAATGGATATTTTGTGCTACATTCATTTACTTAAAGATATAATTGTAGTGATAATTGGAGCCAGAGAGGTGGAATGTGAATCTCTAGATGAAATCATGTCACTGTTGGAGTCTGGGTCATCTATCCGTCACACAGGGTCAACACAGATGAATGAACATTCCAGTCGATCTCATTCTATATTTACAGTAATAGTAGGTCAGTATTTAGGACACTATACATTTATTTCTGTTTCCTTAGGGAGATACGAAGATTTGTTCACCCTTGAAAAGTCATGTTTCCCTCTAGCAATGCCTTTGGGAAATATGAATTTCTTTGTTTTATTCCATGGCTTTTACTTTTTGACTTCCTGAAAATAGAATATTCAGGTATGCTTTTACAATTTTTCATAACCACTTTTTTAAAGCCCCGCCACAAAGTGATTGGGCCATATAGTGTTACCCTTATCCGTCATTCCTTCATTCCATCATTCCGCAACAAACAGCTATACAGACTTTTTTTCAAAACGCCTTCACATTGAGCTGAATTTTGGTATGTGAGTCTAGTATGATGAGTTACAGATCAAGTTTACTTTGGTTCAGCTCCATTGATTTTTGCAGAAAGTAAGGGCTTTGGACTTTGAAAAATTTTGTGAAAATAACAGTTATACAGACTTTCATTGTCAAATTTGCACTCTTAAAATGGCTTCAAGCTTTTTTTGCAGTGTTGTTCTTACACATCTAGTTTATATATATATACATGGCGTACATAGCAGATCAACAATTTATTATTTATAATCAAACTATAAATATCCTTTTGTCGAGCCTGCGACTTTTGTCGCAGAAAGCTCGACATGGGGATAGTGATCAGGCGGCAGCGGCGTTAGCTAACTTCTTAAAAGCTTTATATTTTAGAAGGTGGAAGACCTGGATGCTTCATACTTTGTATATGGATGCCTCATGTTACGAAGTTTCCGTCAGTCACATGTCCAATGTCCTTAAACTCATTTTCATGGTTCAGTGACTACTTGAAAAAAAAGTTAACATTTTTTGTAATTTTAAATTCTCTCTTATTATAAGTAGTAGGATAACTATATTTGGTATGTGTGTACCTTGCAAGGTCCTCATGCCCGTCAGACAGTTTTCACTTGACCTCGACCTCATTTCATGGATCAGTGAACAAGGTTAAGTTTTGGTGGTCAAGTCCATATCTCAGATACTATAAGCAATAGGTCTAGTATATTCAGTGTATGGAAGGACTGTAAGGTGTACATGTCCAACTGGCAGGTTTCATCTGATCTTGACCTCATTTTCATGGTTCAGTGGTTATCAAGGGTCCGGAAACGGTCATATATGCCAGTCATGTCCTAAGATGAAACTATTTGTCCTAAACGAGTAATTGGGATTTAGGACAAATTTTATTTTTTTAAAGAAGTAATTTCGGTCATTTCATTGACTAAATGTTTGAAATCGGATTTCTTAATCGCCATTTTGCACTGTCTTGTGTAAGTTGTGATCACTTGTTTTTGTTTATAATCCCTTTCCTGTAATAAAACTGCCACTTCAGTAGTTTGATAATCCTGAGGGCCCTCCTAATATCTATATCAATGCCTCCGGGAAACATTGGCTAATGATCGCTATTAATCACTTTTTACCAGTGGTTTTAATTCACACCTGACAGTAATCACAAGCTCAGAATAATTTCTTAACAAAAATTGAAATTCCCTGACAAGTGTATTCATTATTTAATTCCTTTCAGCAAAGACAATCATCAAATCAGATTTAAAAATTAAACCTAAATTTACGGAGAAAAAAATATTTTTTCATGTGCTTAATTTACTATATAATACGCATGCATGAAATTGTCTTCAGCAAATTTAATATTTAATCGTGAAATGCAAATTGATTTCATGCTAAATTAAACGAGTGCAACTATTGTCTGTTACATTCAAACACTTTTAAAGGTAAAAAAATTAAAAAACCATAAAAAGCCGGTGATTTCCTGTCAATTTGATAAACAAAACAAATCCCGGAAATGAATCCGGAATTATTGGTACTTTATCGCAAACTTCCGGTTTTAACTTTTGTCAAATCGAAAGAAACGTATGCAATGTCTGAGAGATTTACCATTTTGAGTCATTAAAATCATTTCAATTTTAAACTATTGCCTTCCCTAAACTGTTCTTCATAGTAATGGTAAGACATTTACTTAGTAAATGCGACGAAACAACAGTTCGTTGATGATATGAATCTAGTCAAGTTGACATCGACAATTTGGAAAGGGGCACCAACTTTTCAATCATCTCAAAATGACCGAAATTGTGTGGAAAAATTTCCGGATCCTTGGTGGTTATAGTTAAGTTTTTGTGTTTTGTTCTGTTTTTCTAATACTGTATGCAATAGGTCTACTATATTTGGTGTATGGAATGATTGTAAGGTGTACATGTCTAGCTGGCTGGTGTCATCTGACCTTGACCTCGTTTTCATGGTTCAGTGGTCAAAGTTAAGTTTTTGAGTTTTGGTCTTTTTTTCTAATACTATATGCAATAGGTCAACTATATTTGGTGTATGGAAATATTTTATGATCTATATGTCAGTAGCGCAGGTTTTATATGACCTTGACCTCATTTTCACGGTAATGTGTTAAGTTTTTGTGTTTTGGTTTGTTTTTCTTAAACTATAAGCAATAGGTCAACTATATTTGTTATATGGAAGAATTGTTAACTGTACATGTCTGCCTGGCATGGTTCATCTGACCTTGACCTCATTTTCATGGTTCATTGGTCAATGTTTAGTTTTCTTGGTTAATGTTAAGTTTATGTGACAGTTGTAATTAAGCTTTATATTTAGGACTATCAACATAATATCAATGATTAGTAAAGAAGGCGAGACATTTCAGCGTGTGCACTCTTGTTTAATTTTCTTATCGATATTTACAAACAGTGGAATAAATAGGATTATATGTATAGATTATTACATGGCATTTTTCATATCAGACCCTTTATCGGCCCTAGGTCATGATATCAGCCCAAAAGCCGCAGGCTCGAGGGCTGATATTATAAACGAGGGCAGATAAAGGGTCTGATATGAAAAATGACATGTAATTATCTTTTTATCATATACTTCAGCAGAAGAAATACAGACAAGAACTATTAATTAAAATTTTGTCTTTCTATGAATTTTTAGATAATAATTTACTGACAACCAAATACAAATTTCTTAACTTTAATTGTTTTTATTGATATTACAAGCATTTTATTTATCTTGTCACAACAATTATCATGTTCTTAGTTTGAAATTTGCTCCTCAACCATTTTGTGAAAAGTCTTAAATCACTTGCTGTTTTCCGCACTGTGTTGTCTTTTCCGAACAAATTTCCGGAAATGCACCAAGTTGCATGTGATAAACGTCAGGGAAATTAACGGAAAGGCATGTGATAACATTCCGGAAGCAGTCAATAAAGGTTCCTTTATCAGCCCGCTGAGGAAATTCTTAGGAATCTGGTCAATAAACCTAGTAATCCTTTCATAGCCTTTTAATATTTTTAAATGTTATTGAACAGTAAAATTTTAGTAATATTTTATACAAGTATATGATAAGAAGTTGTATTTGCTATTGACTGTAAAGAAGTTTATTAAAAAGTAACAATATCAATCAAATAGTTGTATTTTCTATCATAATTTGGATTGTGTCAGTCATAAGTGATCCAATATAATTATGAATTATACTTGAAGTATGAGTAACATGTTTCAGCAAGGTTCTTTCTTATCATTCAAATGAAGAAAATTCTTTACATTTAATTTGCATATAATAATTAATTATGCGTAATGGAAAACTTGTGCATGTATTTTGCAGGCCAGAGATGGGTAGAAGCTGATGTTATGGCAGGGAAGAGAAAACCATCAGAATCTAACGAGATAATTGATGATGGTAGGTTCAGAAACATCTAATAATATTACATTCTTAACACAAAATCATATATACTAGTATACATGTAATTGTTATCTTTGAATATTAATAGATGTAAAAATGTATTTACATTATTTTTAATTTTTTTTAATTAAGTTTTTATATTACATGATTTCTATATATATTGCATGTGAGACCCCATATAACGGTGTAATTATATAGTGATACAATACACAATTATATCTGTTATTGGCACACATTCAGAAACTTGTTTTCTGTTCCCTTGTAGTAAATATATATATGTGTGCTACTGTTTAACACCAACATTCTGCTTTTCAGAGAATCAGTTGAAAGGTTTGTTTAGTTTTTGCAAGCTCCTTTTTTTTCTAAAACTTATCTGTATATTTTGTACACTGCACTGTTTAGTTGCCTACACTGTAATCATTTGCATTTTAGGTTGTCGTCCTAATTATTTTGGACCTATAAGCTTGTAACCTGTAATTAATTCACCATCCCAGAACTTTATTGTTGTGAACCTATTTTTTTGCCATTGTTTTGTTATAACCCTCTAACAGATGTTTAAAATGTTAATACAGTTTGAAGGAAACATCAGTCAGGGAATAAGATGTTCCCTGATGATTACTGTTGCTGGAATTTTGAGTACAGCATGTTTAAAATGTATAGTAAATAACAAGCATGAAGGTGGATTTTGAAATACAAGCTGCTTTTTTGAACAATATTATACTTAGCCTGAAATGTTCATGGAGTAATAAGCTGACAGGTGCATTTTTTTTTACATAGAAAAGGAATATATTCATGATTAAACATTGAACTTGAATAAAAAAATTAAAGATACACCTTTTTTAGGTATATAGTATACATATACCAATGGCCTTGTCTTTTCTTCTCTTTTGAAACTTAGCTTGCAAGACCACATATTACTGCCAAACTTTTCCATTTATAATCTTGTATTCTTTTACTTTGCCAAAATGCAAAACTTATTTGTAAAGGTCATATTTTTCATCATGTTAATTTTCATGTGTAAGCCTCACCAAACACTGGTCAAGGCTGTAGTATTTACATTTGATTTGATTTGAAGATTTTTGATAGAAATAATATGATATACTTTAGGTTTTGGTTTTATTCATCTTATTGCACAGGAACTTTTGGTTTTTATCTTAAATTTAATACTTTTACCACTATATTATGGGATAGCAGCTAATCTTATATGTATCCACAAAATATACATGTATTCTAAAGTATACATTTGTTTAGATTGCTTAATTCAAGCATTTTAGGGTTTGATATAATCAATTTATAAAGAATACATGTACAAATAATATTGATAGCTTATTGTCTTCAGTTTGAATGCTCATGTAAATCTGCTTCAGATATTCAGCTTGTTTCATGTAAAAGATAAAGATAGTAAGTGTGTGTAAGAAATTAATGTCCGCAGCTACATATGATATAAACATATGTCAAGTAGACTTAATTAGAAACATTATATTGTATAAAAAAGATAACTAAAATTACTATTGGACACCTCAGTAAACTTTACCAAAAACAAACTTATTCAAGAATTCCAACCAACACAGACAAACAGCAGAGAACAAGATTTATGTTCAAAAGCCTGATTTGGTACAGGCTCAAAGTTATTTGACTCTATAGATACCTAAAACTTTATCTGTATATACCATATACTGTTACCCTAAAACACACAGCAAAAGATCTGCTGTATTTAACTGGCATTGAGCTGCGTCGGATAGAAATCGACCTTGTGCAAATGAAAATCAATACATCTGTTAACTTATTTCGAGTTGAAAAAATCACTATGCAAAATCTGTAACTGTTTGAAAATTGAGTTAATATAAGAACCCTACAAAACAGACCAAAAGTCATCTTTTATTTGTATTTGAATGTTTTAAAACATATCAAAGTCTTATACAAGTACATTGTACATGTATACAGGAAATTGCATATGGTCGATTTCTATCTGATGCAGCTCACTTGTTACTTTTCAGTAAAAGTGTTTATATAGTTCTTGCAATGTAATCACAACATTGTGATAATTGTAATGTATGTGATAATTGTAATGTATGTGATAATTGTAATGTATGTGATAATTGTAATGTATGTGATAATTGTAATGTATGTGATAATTGTAATGTATGTGATAATTGTAATGTATGCTTATTTTTATAGATATAACGCACAATATGTTTGGAAAGTTCCATTTTGTTGATCTAGCTGGATCAGAGAGAGCTCACAGGACAGGCAATGTAGGGGATAGATTTAAAGGTAAGAATTTGTAGGATGTCTTTATCAGGGAATTTACTGTAACAATAGGGTTCAGCTGGATTATTGGTATTCTTCCAATTTTGGATGTTTTTAAATGTAATCCAAAACCTTAAATGCTTTGGAATAAAAAAAGAAATAGCTTAAACATTTTAAAAACTCCATGGATTTTTAGCATAAACTCCTAGAAAACTAGTTTTGACTTGGAATACCAAGATATCACTGAATATATGTGTAATAAAATAAAATTATTTTTGTTGATTTTCATTGAAGCAACAATAGAAAAAAATCAGTATTGTAAAATTTGAAAAATTTTATAGGAAAATACCAGTAACATTGTGCATTTAAAAAAAAAATGTATTGGTAGATTTGCATGAGGCAACATGAGAAATAAAATCGGTTTTGTATGATTTGAAGAATTTATAGGAGAATGATATTTAAGTATGATATTTTCATGTCTTTATGTATTGGTTATTTCAGAATCTGTTCATATAAACTCAGGACTTTTAGCTCTTGGGAATGTGATCAGTGCATTAGGAGATCCAAAAAAGAAATCCACACACATTCCATACAGAGAATCTAAAATCACAAGGCTACTTAAGGTACAGTACCTTTATTTATATATTTATAGATTGTCTATGGTTCTAAAAATGTGAAAAAGGAAGTTTCTTGCTTCAATGAGATTGTAGCAGAGAAACTTTCTCTAGTTTGAAATCCATAAATAGTCTGTTTATCAATATTTTCCAATGCATCATCAATGATGTTAGCTTATGATGTCATCATAACGTCACTTAACTCAACTGAGAAAAACACATCTCAGTTTAGTAGCTTGAGATTGAAATTATCGCACAGAAAGATCAAAGGTAAATGTATGAAAATAGCGCTAGTTATAGAATAACTAATCCAAGAATTTAAATATAGAAAATTTTTTAATTAGTGACCAAAAAACATATTAGTGCCCAATCGCATAGTGCATGAGTTAATTAGCAGAGTGATATGGTTATAAGTTGAATACTCTTTTTATTTTATTTCTTGGATTAGTTATTTTTGTAATAACATTGACTTTTTTTTTTTGAAATAAAAAAAATAAATGCAAGAAGCAATATCTTTTTCTATAAATTTTCTTTTTAGCTCACCTGGCCCAAAGGGCCAAGTGAGCTTTTCTCATCACTTGGCGTCCGTCGTCTGTAAACTTTTACAAAAATCTTCTCCTCTGAAACTACTGGGCCAAATTTGACCAAACTTGGCCACAATCATCATTGGGGTATCTAGTTTAAAAAATATGTCCACTGACCTGGCCAACCAACCAAGATGGCCGCCATGGCTAAAAATAGAACATAGGGGTAAAATGTAGATTTTGGCTTATATCTCTGAAACCAAAGCATTTAGAGCAAATCTGACATGGGGGTAAAATTGTTTATCAGGTCAAGATCTATCTGCCCTGAAATTTTCAGATGAATCTGACAACCCGTTGTTGGGTTGCTGCCCCTGAATTGGTAATTTTAAGGAAATTTTGCCGTTTTTAGTTATTATCTTGAATATTATTATAGATAGAGATAAACTGTAAACAGCAATAATGTTCAGCAAAGTAAGATCTACAAATAAGTCAACATGACCAAAATTGTCAATTGACCCCTTAAGGAGTTATTGCCCTTTATAGTCAATTTTTTACAATTTTCATCTGAAACTACTAAGACAAATTTAACCAAACTTGTCCACAATCATCATTAGGGTATCTAGTTTAAAAAAAATTGTCCGATGACCACGCTCGCGTACCAAGATGGCCGACATGGCTAAAAAATAGTACATAGGGTAAAATGCAGTTTTTGGCTCATATCTCTGAAACCAAAGCATTTAGAGCAAATCTGACAAGGATAAAATTGTTCATTAGGTCAAGATCTATCTGCCCTGAAATTTTCAGACCAATCAGGCAACAAGATGTTGGGTTGCTGCCCCTGAATTGGTAATTTTAAGGAAATTTTGCAGCTTTTGGGTATTATCTTGAATATTATTATAGATAGAGATAAACTGTAAACTGCAATAATGTACAGCAAAGTAAGATCTACAAATAAGTCAACATGACCAAAATTGTCAATTGACCCCTTAAGGAGTTATTGCCCTTTATAGTCAATTTTTTACAATTTTCATAAATTTTGTAAATTTTTGTAAATTTTTACAAAATATTTTCCACTGTAACTACTGGGCCAAGTTCATTATAGATAGAGATAGTTGTAAGCAGCAAGACTGTTCAGTAAAGTAAGATCTACAAACACATCACCATCACCAAAACACAATTTTGTCATGAATCCATCTGTGTCCTTTGTTTAATATGCACATAGACCAAGGTGAGCGACACAGGCTCTTTAGAGCCTCTAGTTGTTATGATGCGACATCATCAACAACGTCTTAACAACACTCATTGTTATATGACATCAGAGGAGTGAAATTAATGTTTTTTAATTTAACTTGGAAATCATGGTATCTCATTGCAACCAATGTAACCAATAGTTCTCCGCATTCCATACACTGAATCTAAAATCGCAAGGATTCTGAAGGTACAGTACCTATATTTAGATATGAAGAAGTTCTCAAACATTCCATATATGAAATTAAGGTACAGTATATTTAGAAATCAATAAAATTCTCTCAAATTCCATACAGGGACTAAAATTACTAAAAGGTACAGTATCTATATCTAGATAAAGGAAATCCTTTTATATTCCACACAGGATTTCCAGCATTCCTTAATAGTAGTTCATCCAGGTCAATTTCATAACCTATGTTTGTTTCTCTTACAGGATTCCCTGGGAGGAAATGCTCAGACATTAATGATTTGTTGTATTAGTCTGTCTAGGTCAAAGTTCATAACCTATGTTTGTTTCTCTTACAGGATTCCCTGGGAGGAAATGCTCAGACATTAATGATTTGTTGTATTAGTCTGTCTAGGTCAAAGTTCATAACCTATGTTTGTTTCTCTTACAGGATTCCCTGGGAGGAAATGCTCAGACATTGATGATTTGTTGTATAAGTCTGTCTAGGTCAAAGTTCATAACCTATGTTTGTTTCTCTTACAGGATTCCCTGGGAGGAAATGCTCAGACATTAATGATTTGTTGTATTAGTCCGTCCACCTCAAACTTTGATGAATCTCTGAATGCTTTGAAATATGCAAATAGAGTAAGTATACCTATATGATTTCTTATGTTCAAGCTTGAATAAAGGAGATGTTCAAACAAAATAAATAAATGCTACTCTTTGTAAGTAGAAAACAATTTATCTTTGAAACAGTGAAGTTACATGTTCATTCTGGAAAACTTATTGGAGATAGGTTTAAAATCATATGAAACTAGTTTCTTGTAATCATAATGGTATCTAAATTATTAAACCAATACATGAATATTTACTAAACAAAGGCATGTATGCATAACGTATTAATGACAAATATTATTTCATTTGGTGATTGTTGATTGCAAGCTAATTAATGTTGATCTCAAGCTATTTAACTTTCGAGTTTATGGCCAAAGTTAACCGGATCGTGACACTGATAAACAATCAACACAGAGCATGTGGAGCATGTGTAAAATAAGTGAATTGATAGAGCCAGGATATTTTTTTTATATTTTCCATGCGTTCCCATTTGTTTAAAATTAAACTTTTCCTTATCAGTTGTTAAATGATTTGGTGTATATAATTTGTTCTTTAAGAATCAGTAATTACTATTTACCTTCCAGGGCACGTTTGTTTACATTCTTTCATCACGGTTTTCCCCTCACACTTGTGCTGTGCGTCGGCCGAAGTCCTAATGAAAGGTCTTGTAGTTGAGGTCACTGCATACGGGAAAATATTGGCAAATTAGTGTACGGGAAGACAATAATTTAGTAGCAGTACATATATGAAGATTTTGATAATATAAAGGATTTTTTTTTACGAGAAAAATCACTTGTTTTATAGTAATACTTAGCAATTCAAGTAAAAACTATATAAAACATAGTCAACTTTTTTTTAAATTTGAAATTCATATGACTTTAAATTGAAAAAAATATTTTCATTTAAGTTTTTTCTTAAATGAATTATTAAAAATTTTAATTAAACTGCTGCAATTCTAACTATGTAAAAATGTATTTTCAGGCCAAGAATATAAAGAATAAACCAATTATAAACAGAGATGTACAGTCCATCAGGTTTGAAGAAATGCAGTGTGAAATTATGGTAGGTTACAAAACAGGAATATGTAATTTATACACAAGCACTTGACAGGGTTTGGGTTAGGCAGTGATCTTTTTGATTGTCAATCTGTTTCCAAACAAGCATATAGAAATTTTATTGTACTTCATTGAACTTTTGAATTTGTGGTTTATCTGTACCCTGGAAATCAACGAAAATTGGTAACCAACAAATAATAATGAATCCACAGTAATCAAAAAAGACAAAACCTACGGAGAAAACAGTAATCACTGAAGAGATTTTTGAATTGGGACAAGCACATATATGTGACAGCGTTCAACTATTTTTTTTAATAAAAAAGATAAATGGATACATGTCAGTGATACAGCAACCCATTGACATAACCAAAAAACTTCTCAGTACTCAATCATACCATATAATGGAGTTAGCTGAACTTGAATCCATTATAATTTCTTACCATTTTGATAGGCATTAAGAGAGGAGTTGGTGAAACAAAGGACTACCTTATTAAGTAATGGAGGACAAGGGTTTGGACTTGGTGATCCTGTTCATATGGAGAAGTATGTGCATGATGCTCAACAGTTAGAGAGATTAGAGAAACAAGTTGTTAGGTATGTTTTTTTTGTCCTATCAGGGATTGCTCATTTTCAACAGGTAGAGAGATTAAAGAAAAAAGTTTTAAGGTATGGCTCTTTTATCCTATCAGGGATTGCTCATGCTCTGAGAAATTATTGGGGTCATTTTAAATGGTCTTTAAAAGGTGGGGAAAACATTTATAGATCATTATCCTTGTCACTGTTACAAAAATCATGAATTATTTGATGTATCTGTAATGCTTGCAATTCAAATATTTTCCCACTCTTTTCCATGCTAAGCAATACATTTCCAATCATCAGTGCCTTGGTTTTTGAATGGATTACAATATATTACAGTATTTTAATTGAACAATGGGGCTTCTCAAGGCATTATTATTATATCTTATCACTACTGTCACTAGGTCAAGAGTGAAATATTATTCTTAAAAGTTTAAAGATCAAATTACTTTCATCATGATATGTAATTGAACAGAACTACCATTTATGTGTGTGTTTTTGTATCCCCTGTGGTGATAGCAACTTATGGAGCGAAGCTATGGTTTAGACTTTTTGTTCCTGTTGTTTATGACATTGGTGTGGACAATATTTGACTTCATCTATAAATCATCAGATTGTTTTGATTTTAATTTAAGGCCAGTAGACATAATTCTGTGGTAACCATTTATTTCATTTTGACCAAGTAACCATCAAGGCATCCTCTGTGGAGTCTAATGGTGGTATCTGGACTGATAGCGATATATTTTGAATGTATGAGACATGATATTTATTTTCTGTAGATTACAAACAGAATGTTCCCATTATAAGATGATAGCAGAGGAAGCTTACAAACAGCTGATAGAAATACAGAATAAAGATATATTGTCTCAAAGTCAGGACATCAGACTGAAAGATTGGTTAGATCTCATGGAAGAGGTAAGATACAGAATAAAGATATCTTGTCTCAGAGTCAGGATATCAGGCTGAAAGATTGGTTAGATCTCATGGAAGAGGTAAGATACAGAATAAAGATATCTTGTCTCAGAGTCAGGATATCAGGCTGAAAGATTGGTTAGATCTCATGGAAGAGGTAAGATACAGAATAAAGATATCTTGTCTCAGAGTCAGGATATCAGGCTGAAAGATTGGTTAGATCTCATGGAAGAGGTAAGATACAGAATAAAGATATCTTGTCTCAGAGTCAGGATATCAGGCTGAAAGATTGGTTAGATCTCATGGAAGAGGTAAGATACAGAATAAAGATATCTTGTCTCAGAGTCAGGATATCAGGCTGAAAGATTGGTTAGATCTCATGCAAGAGGTAAGATACTACTACTAAGGGTGAGTTTAACAGCCTTGACTTCCCATGAGGGTGTCGCACGGTTGGTGCTGTAGAGGTAAGATATAGAATAAAGATACATTATCTCAGAATCAGGATATCAGGCTGAAAGATTGGTTAGATCTCATGGAAGAGGTAAGATACAGAATAAAGATATCTTGTCTCAGAGTCAGGATATCAGGCTGAAAGATTGGTTAGATCTCATGGAAGAGGTAAGATACTACTACTAAGGGGTTTTTAACAACCTTGACTACCCATGAGGGTGTAGTACGGTGGATGCTGTAGAGGTAAGATACTACTACTAAGGGGGTGTTTAATGACCTTGACTACCCATGAGGGTGTAGCACGGTCGATGCTGTAGAGGTAAGATACAGAATAAAAATATCTTGTCTCAGAATCAGTCTGAACTTGAATGAGACTGCAACCCAACGTCACAAATCACCAAATGATATATGCTGTAAAAAAAAATACATGTGACATGCAAAAAAAAGGTCTCCAAAGTGCTTAAATTTTTCATTGTTTGAAAACTATGACTTAATCATTTTCAAACTTTTAAAACTATTGTAAAAATTAATTTGTCTTATTGTAATACTTTTTTTACATTATGACATTGTGAAAAGGGAAGCAACTCATCAATATTAATAAATGTTGCTTCAATTTGAAGTTGTCATGACAATAGACTTTATCTCAACACTATGAAAAAGTGGTTAAAAAGATCGAATCCAAAGTTTTATCCTAACCAAGCTCATGGAAGACTCAAATTTTAATCCGAGGGTGCCAGAGTTTTTTCTTGTACTGTCAGGTCTGTTATATTTTAATAAACATTTATTAAGACTAAAAGCTCATATTAAAACTACAAAGTTTGTTGTTCTCATTGCAGATAAAAAATAAAGTACCAGCAACTTTATCTAGAGAGGAGATGGAAAATGAAACTATTAGAAACTTAACAGCCCTGTTAACTAAGGTTTGTAGACAGTTTATAAACCTGTCTTCTCTGCTCTGTCAAAGGCATATTGTGCCATTGTCAAAATTTACTTCAACATTATTTTCGTAAAATGCAACCCTAATTTTTCACATAATAAAAATTTCCTGAAAAACTTAGAATAAAAGAATTTTGAAAGGTAAGGGAAAAGCTTGTCTAATGATAAGAAAATGGCACATTTGCCTAATTAACAATATCTGTTTTACTTTTCTGAACACAGTGCAGTTATTCTATACACATTTCTTGTGTGCTTTTGAAAACTACTTTTTCTAACACAGATCATTGTGTGATGTGAGCACTTCATATTTTTTGTAGTGTAAAGAAGACTTGAAAAGTGATGAAGAAATATTTGCAGAGAAAAGTAAAGAACATAACAATATGACACACAGACTGCAAGAACTGGTAAGTGAAGTATAAAATTCAATGTTTTCAATTACACTCATTTTCATGAAAAAAAATATCAGATAATTAAATACACAATAAAATGAAAGAAAAACTATTTTTACCATAAAGGGATCCATAGAGAACAGAGTTTTATATAACATAACTAAAGCAAGGGAGTACTGATATGTCTTATATGACATAACTAAAGCAAGGGAGTACTGATATATCTTATATCACATAACTAAAGCAAGGGAGTACTGATATATCTTATATAACATAACTAAAGCAAGGGAGTACTGATATATCTTATATGACATGACTAAAGCAAGGGAGTACTGATATATCTTATATAACATAACTAAAGCAAGGGAGTAATGATATATCTTATATCACATAACTAAAGCAAGGGAGTACTGATATATCTTATATAACATAACTAAAGCAAGGGAGTACTGATATATCTTATAGGACATACTGATATATCTTATATAACATAACTAAAGCAAGGGAGTACTGATATATCTTATATAACATAACTAAAGCAAGGGAGTACTGATATATCTTATAGGACATAACTAAAGCAAGGGAGTACTGATATATCTTATATGACATAACTAAAACAAGGGAGTACTGATATATCTTATATAACATAACTAAAGCAAGGGAGTACTGATATATCTTTTAGGACATAACTAAAACAAGGGAGTACTGATATATCTTATATAACATAACTAAAGCAAGGGAGTACTGATATATCTTATAGGACATAACTAAAGCAAGGGAGTACTGATATATCTTATAGGACATAACTAAAGCAAGGGAGTACTGATATATCTTATATGACATAACTAAAGCAAGGGAGTACTGATATATCTTATATAACATAACTAAAGCAAGGGAGTACTGATATATCTTTTAGGACATAACAAAAGCAAGGGAGTGCTGATATATCTTATAGGACATAACTAAAGCAAGAGAGTACTGATATATCTTATATGACATAACTAAAATATCTTATATGACATAACTAAAGCAAGAGAGTACTGATATATCTTATATGACATAACTAAAGCAAGGGAGTACTGATATATCTTATATAACATAACTAAAGCAAGGGAGTACTGATATATCTTATAGGACATAACTAAAGCAAGGGAGTACTGATATATCTTATAGGACATAACTAAAGCAAGGGAGTACTGATATATCTTATATGACATAACTAAAGCAAGGGAGTACTGATATATCTTATATGACATGACTAAAGCAAGGGAGTACTGATATATCTTATATGACATGACTAAAGCAAGGGAGTACTGATATATCTTATAGGACATAACTAAAGCAAGGGAGTACTGATATATCTTATAGGACATAACTAAAGCAAGGGAGTACTGATATATCTTATAGGACATAACTAAAGCAAGAGAGTACTGATATATCTTATATAACATAACTAAAGCAAGGGAGTACTGATATATCTTATATCACATAACTAAAGCAAGGGAGTACTGATATATCTTAAAAGAAATAACATATAGAATCCACTTTTTATAGTGTATTAACTTCTGATTGAAAACTATGATTTTGGCTTTGTGTATTCATTTTGGTGGTTAGCTGCAGGAACTTTTCTATTTCCAATGCATTTTTATTCTCATCATGCTTTAGCAAACAAACATGTTCAGAAGAAAATATATTTGAGAAAAATTCAAAATTTTGGGCACTTATGCAAGAATTGTACATTTTGTACTCCATAATGTCATACATAAAATTCTTGAGCAATATATCCCTATTTGTACAGTGTATGGTTAAAGGTCTTGTCTTTATATACAATTTATTTGAGCTAAAGTACTGATAATTGTGGGAAAAAAAACCTTTTTAAAGATACCAGACTTATAATCTGACACGCCATATATGCACATTTCAACATCAAAAGACTCATCAGGCTCTCCAATTAAATCAGTATGAAAACACTATGTCAGTACATCAAGATAATCTAACAGGTTTATTATGAAACTGAATCAGGAATATTATAACTTTTAAAATTACTAATGTTTCACTTACAGGAGGCAATGGTAGAGGAAAAAGACCGCCAATTAATACAGTATGAAGATACCAGACTAAAACAGGAACAACAACTTATAGAACAACACATGAAGATAGAGGAGTTACAAAAGGCTATTAAGGTAACAGTCACATGGTAATAGGGTTACATAGTAGCTTAATAACCGGAATACAGTTCGATATTAGATGTTAATCAGATGTGTTTTGTCTGCTTCATTGCTTTTGTTGTGAAAATTGTTTGTTGCTGTATTTTATTTAATGTCAAATTTAGATATATGATTCTGAAATATAATTTAATTTGATATAAAACTGAATTCTGATTACATATAAATATATTTATCTGTAAAACATCTGAATTTTATCTTAGGGTTAATATATATTTTTAAAGAAATTGTAAATAAGAATTTTAATTTATTGTCATAATTCTAAATACTTTCAAGAATTTTTTTTCTGACATGCCTTTATCATACAAAAATAAAAAGTACTTTTACTAAAGTTGAGACTGAATTATCATATTATTTTTGTATAAATATTTTATTTTAACATTGTGTGTATATGTGTGTGCAATATTTGTTTCAGGACGAACTTTCTGTGGTAAATTAGAAACTAGTTGATGTCTCTGAATCTCCCTGGAGAAATAGTCAGACAGTAGTCGCTTCAGATATTTAACTGATATATATTCATGCTTCTGTTAAAACAAATCTACCTAGTTAAAAAATGGATGAATTTAAATATCTACATTTGGTTCAAAACTACCCTTTTCTTGAAAATGATATTCATAGACATCAAGTTTTCCTTCATTTTTTATTTTTATTGAAATTTTTTACAAAAGGTTATTTGTTTTGTGGATTACACTTTAACCAAATAATGACAATTCCAAGGACATATATAAAAGATTTGTGTTGTTTTGGGCACTGGGGGTTAGGGGATTAAATCACTGGTTATATTATTTTTGTTCCTGCCATCCTGATAGGTCACTTTAACAAATATTTTAATACAAAATTTAAAATAACATTATTTGTATTTAAAATCTTACTGCCTTAAAATCAACAATTAGTAGCCTGCATAAATGACAGTTTCACTGCACAATGCACATTTTTATCAGTTAGAAATTAAATAAATTCTTCACAATATCCTGTCTGAATGTCTTCAAGTTCAAAGTTCAGTTGTCTGAAAATTACATTGGCTTTTTAAAGGATAAAATATTTTCCTGCTCAGCATTTATCTAAAAATCACACAGAGTTAAAAAGGTTATGACTATTGTATATACTGCGAGAGTATATTTTATACATGTATATGTAATTAATATTTCCTTGGAATGGATTATCTAATAGGATAAGAGTAAGATTGAATTTCATGTTTTTGTTTGTATATGAGATGAAAACGGTTTGCATGGTCTGTTATGTTAATAATAACAAAATCACTTTTTCTCTTTTGTATTTTATTTTAAGAGTTTTAAATGATATAAATGATGTCTATTTCATTTCAAAATGATGCAAATAGTGGAGAGTAAACGCCTGTATTTATGTTATAGAAATATGTTTTTATAAGGTTCTGATCACTATCCTAAATATATTAACAAAATTATAAGGTTTTCTTCTAAGCTGCCAGCACTCCTTACAGATATTTAGCTGACCTCTGATACATAACTGAGTAATAAATTAATATAGATTGATATTTGCAAGGTACATTATTGTATAATCAACATATATAAATTATAAATTAGTTTTGTTTTGGATGCCCTACTTTTAACTTTGTTGGTCAGGATGGGTAGAGACTATTTTCAAACATTGTTCTAAAAGGGAGTTTTCTGCATTTTTAGAAGTTGTATTAGTAAGAAATACTATGTCATATGCCCATGTGACATTTATGCCCTTCATGTACCCTTTCTAATCCTGAAACTTTCTATTCCTGTTATAATCACTGAGAAACACTATTCAATATTATGCATAGATTCTTGGTGAGCAGTACTTTTTAGTCATTTGTAGTGGCGAAAATCAGGTAGGCTTTCTAGAATGACAAAAAACTCAAATAAGATTTATAAATGAGTCATCTGTTATTTACTGTATAGAGGTAATGGATAAAGGCTAGAATTAGGTATAAACAAATACATTTGATCAATTTACTTTCTTACCTGTATTTTCTCTACTGAGATGTCTTAATTTCAGGCTTAGTCTTTCTATATTCTGTATACTGTATAAATATTGTTGATCTTTGCACCTTCTTGTAATAAGTTGTACACAGATATGTAACGACTAAGCATATTTTATCTGAATTTTCAGTGATTAATCAATGCATGAATGATTTTTGTTGAGCATTGAATGAAAATTAATATTCTTTGGCAAATAATAGTACATGTATTTCAAGTTACTGACAGTATTTGATTTATCTTTATTTCATGATTATTTACAGACCGATTTAATTGTTTACTTTTAAAACTATAAAATAAAAATACTGAATAAAAGTAAATAGTAGTGCCTTCCTTCTCACTTTATGTTACCAAATCACATTGTTATATTTTCAGTGTTCCAGCTAGGATTTCAAAAGGGCAGGATGCCAATCCTGAAAAAGGGCATTTAACGTGTGATATGATAATATGAAAAGGGCATGTTTTAATAAAGATTATAATCAAACATTTTTTGTTCATTGAATCACTGGTTTTATATATACAAGAACAACATCATAAGCCCAGAGAAAAACTATCTTTCTACTTTTTAGGCTGAAAACTTGTCAAGCAGCTTGTCACACAAGTTTTAAATCATTGCTTGGCACAGTTAAGCTTTATATGCAGTATTGTTTGAAAAATGTCCTGCTTCATTCTGTTTCTATGGTCTGACACACTTTACAAGTTTAACATTTCTACCTTTTCTGTGCTTAATGGCAATACAGCACAAAACAGCTGTAAATGCACAATGTTAGGATATAGTGAACAGTGAAAATTTGGATTGAAAATAAAAAATACAGAAAAAGATGACCAAGGCACCCTACCAACCCTGCTACTAAGACCCTCTTTAACTTTTCCCATAACTCAAAACACCTAAACATATAAATTCTAAAGCCAGAAGTATGAAGACATATTTTATAATATCTTAGTAGGTTACTCAATGCTAGGAAAAAATAAGATTGAGTTATCTTTCTTTATTTGGGTGTGCTCCTTCTTTGGAGGATAATAAACAGTACCTGTACGTAGAAGATGTAAATACGATCAACAATATGGCGGCCGATTTTGTTATTTTCATATAAAAAATGAAGGCAGTCAATGAAAAATACGTCTTAATTTGCTATTTATTTCACGGAAAACAATAATAGCAATGTTTTTAACGAGTTGATTATGGTTTTCGACTTTCTGTCAATTACGTTTTCTCCATGAAACTACGGTAAACATTGCCCAAGTTGTATGAACATTTCTTCAAGTTCAAAGACAAATGCCGACTGACCGATTCTATTTGAATGAATTAATGTTGATGATCATTAAATGACCCATCCGATAAACGGATTACCTATAACAACAGATTATGACACCTGCTGTAACCGTTGATTAGCTTGGGGTCGTAAACAAAGTCATATACTTGTCGCCAGGTAAATTTTCGTAATTGGCTGATCATATCAATACAAACAAAATAATATACCAATCGATCTTCAAAAAAGGCAGGGCGCTCTGCAAACTGTAAAAAGGGAACAGGGCGGCACTTGGGAAAGGGCGGGCGGACCGCCCTGTGATTACGACCTAGCTGGAACACTGATTTTCCTTAGATTGCAGTGCAGTACATGTTATCAGACATACCAATTCTCAACTTATATTTCAGGATAACCTGATGGCAAACAGTAGTCTTATAGATGATGAAGCTGTTACAGTTAGTGCCCCACCCATTGTACCCCCCTCAGACAAGAGACCAAAGTCTGTCCCGGTACAGTTGACTAGAAGACCGGACACTGTAAGTAGTTCTTTTTTGATTAATTTGACATACTGTAAACTTTGGACAATAAGTTAAATAAAGAAACGAATGACCTTTTCCTATGTTCAAATTAGAAAAAAAGTTGATTTTTTTTAAGCATTTGGTAGACTCATATTAAACTAGACTTTTAATTACCCTTTTAGCCTAACATGAGATCATTGTCAAGGAAATAAAGATAATTCCTTAAACTTGCATTTAACTTGATCTTTTATTACCTGTTTAGGCTAATGGGAACCTCAGACCATTGTCAAGGAACATAAAGACTAGTCCTGCTCTGTTTACTCTGGACCGAGTGATGAAGAGTTTCCGGGCCCGAAGTCAGCTGCTGGTCAGTCAACTTGAGGACAGTGATGAGGTCATGCATAACACATATGTCATTGAGGAAGAAGGAGAAACAGCTGGTACCAGTCAGAAGTTTGATGCAGAGGAACCAGTACAAGACTCACAAGAACATGAAACGTATGTATGATGTTACAGGGTAATGCTTAGTATATTTTGACAACAGGGATTACAGTCAAACCTGCCATAGCAAGCATTTGATTATTGAAAATTTGGATACATTAAGGGCACAGTAAAAATACTTTTCTAACAACAAAGCATGACACTGTGAAATAAATATCTGTTTCAAAGGACATGTATGTACTGATTATCAGGTTGTCTGCATATTGATATTGTAAAATATCAGCTGTGAGTCACAATACGAAGCTTTTTGTCGAGTGAGCGCAGCAAATGAGTTCAAATAGGCTTCATATTGTATCCAGCAGCTGATATTTTACAGTATCAATATGCAGACAACCAGATAATTGATTTATCCGATTGTATTTGCGTATTTTGCATGATAGAAACAAGTGTTTTCTTTGTTTCACCAGCTAACCGGAAGATGACTTAATAATTTCGGGTCAAACTTATCAATGTCGGTTCATTCATTCAGACATCCAGGTCAAAGTTATTAAGGCAGGGTCAACGTATTTGACATCACAAAGCCGTGTTATGCAATTTTATTAAGAGCTGAGCAGAGTGATACAGACAGTGGGACGACAGATAAATAAATTTATTATTTGTTGTCTTTTATATAGGTTTGACTGTATAATTTAATTTAGTACCCATTTAAAATTTTCAGGAGCCCACAGTTCCACATTCTTCATTTTGAAATAGAAATCAGCAGTAGTTCAACACAAACTCTGTTTCTGGTCTCTGTTAATGTTTTCTTGTAATGCACATAAAATGATCTTTCAGTGTCTAAAGATCTGTTTTATGTAAAGTGAATGAAAATGAAGACTTTTTCTTGATGACATGTGATTCAGTAAAATAGAACTATTAGAGTTCTACCTTTGAAAATTTTATAACGAAGATTCAAGGTTTTTGTAATTACACTGAAAACTTAATTTGATGTTTCTTTTTATTAATCGTTGATTATATAATAATAATATATTTTAGAGGAAAGTTTGTTAGGAAAGGAACATTTAAAGTAAAGAGAGGTAGAAAGGCAGAGGAAAATAAAGAGAATGTCAACAACACAGATGTCCCAGTTATAACTGTTAACAGAGAAGGTAATTATACCCACGCTCTAGAGGAGGGCAATATACTGATTTTTCAGTGACCTGTTCTTCCATCTGTGCATCCATCCATCCTTACACATTTCTGTCACATTTTCCCCAGCAACTACAGGTCATATCTCACACAGTTTCATCTGGTCTTGCTGTAGAGTGTGACATATTTTCAGTTCCTTCAATGTTCTACTTCTTGTTTTCCGAAAATATATTTTTACGTCACATTTTTATTTAATAGCAATTGCAACCAAAGGAAACAATCTGGTTCTAAAAATGGTGATGTATGGCAGGCTGCTGACAACAGTTTCTATGCAATAACCTATGAACCATTCAACCAGTGCTTTTCAAATTTTACAATCTTGATTTTAATGATAAAATGGAGGTCAAATTCGATATTGACAATTTTTCACTTTTGCTGTTTAGGAGAAATGGTCCTTAATAGATTGGAAATTAAGCATAGAACTAACAGGTCAAACAAGACATAATTGCCTTCAAAATACAGAAAGCTGTTATATAGCAGCAATTTCCATCCATACCGTGTTCAGTTCTCTTTATGTTATGCATCCTGTTTGCCAAAAACATATATCTTTAAATTTCATGTACACATGCAAATTTTTTTTGATTCAAGTATTTAATGCAAAATAGAGTCAATAATATTGAGTTAGAAACAAATTCAAACATGACTTTAAATCCTAAATGAATATTTTAAAAACAGTAAATCTCTTGTTGATTTCTAGTATGAATGGTTTATGACCGGTTGATTGATTAAAGAGAGATAGAATAAAAGCAAACAAATATTGAAAACATTATATTTTGGCATAAACACACAGGGATTTCCAAACATGTAGTATATCCATAGTAAAGTTATTGTATGAATTGATAGTATTTGATTGTTTGGTTGGTGTTTAACTCCACTTGCAGCACTATTGCGCTATTTCATGGAGGTCAGTTTTTATTGATGTAGAAAACTGGAATGCCTGGAGAGAACCACTGACCTTTGGTAGAAAAACTGACAATCCTAGTTAATTAAGATTAAATTCGAACATACCTGCCACATTCAATATTTGAACTCACAACCTAAGTGTTGACAGGCTAGTGATACAGTATTTCAACTACTTTGACCACTGGGCCCCAATGGTATTTGAAATTTAAACTGAAAGCCTTTATGAAGTACTGAATGTTTATAGGTACATCTGTATTTAAACTTTCTGTGTAAAGGAATGAATCTTGTCATCTGTTATACATTGTACTTGTTGTCAAAGTTTGCTTATGGTTGTCTGTTTGTCTAGTTATAACAGGAAGTATGTCATCCTCAGCAGGGGGAGATAATTTAGGTGTAAGTACTATTGAAGCTGTAGAGGACAGTTTAAGGAAGAGTGCTAACACACAGAGGATGTTGAAAGAATCCAGACTAAAACTGACTGATGCCCACACTAAAATGAGAGATTTGTCGATCAACATCAGGTATGATATCTGAACTAAATTCTGCACTGTGATTAAACAAAACCTATACTAAAGGAGTCAATTAAAAGGTGCTTTATCTAATAACATAATTTATTTTTTATCTAAAACAAATGGTGACCAACACTGCACAACTGACAAAGATTTTAAATTAGTTTTAGCAAACAATGAATTGTATTTTCTAAAAACCAAGAGAAAAAAAAGACATTTCTATTATATGAATTGAGTGATATTATAAAACAACTATTTCACAGAAGGAATACAATTATTATAAGATAATTTAATTCAATATTTCTTACATATAAAATCATCATATAAAATATATAATTTATGGTTGTGAAGTCTGAATATTGATTGTGAATTTTTTTCTTTATTTGATAAGGTTAAAAGAACAATTGATAAGAGAACTCGTGAAAACTGGGAAAGATGCTGATTTAATGAATAAAAAGTATGCTGATAAGATAAAATCTCTTGAAAAGGTAGGTATATTAGTAGTCAGTATTAAATAAATTATACAGTATAAGTGTCTTGCCTTCCTTTGTAGATGTTTAAACATGGATGTATATATTTTTTTATATATTATTTTATTTAAGTTTTAGAAGCATGTTGTAAAATTGAGAATGGAAATGGGGAATATGTCAAAGAGACAACAACCCGACCAAAGAGCAGACAACAGCCGAAGGCCACCAATGGGTCTTCAACGCAGAGAGAAAATCTCGCACCCTGAGGTGGTCCTCAGCTGGCCTCTAAATAAAATTGTGTACTAGTTCAGTGAAAATGGACGTCACACTGAACTCCAAAACATATAAATGAACTAAAATTAAAAAACATACAGTAAATGAATAAGAGATGGTAAAGTAATGTATTACATACATACATAAACATTGATATGTTGAAAATTCATTCTTATTTAGGTTTAATTATAAATATTAAGTCCTTAAAATTGTCCTCTTTATAAAATGATCATGTCAAAATATAATCACAATTTCTGCTAGCTTTCAGAGATCATCTCAAGACAGATTTTACTGTATTACTGTAGATAAGATTGTAGAAGTAGGCAGGGATCCAGTTCTTTCCATATCAATGATTGGTTTGGATGCATCTTGAATTTATTATATTACAATGTACAAGATTATCAAAATGGTTTCCTAAAAACCTTCAGTTTAATTAAGAAATATAATTTTCTGAGGATGCACAAGCTTTTATATAACAAATACTTTTTAATTTTTCAGGAAAGAATGAAAGTAAAGAGAGATTTACAGGAAACCCAGTCAGTGTTACAGGAGTTAGAGGCTAAACAGGAAACTACAGAGAAAGTCAAACTTACACAGTAAGTGTCATAAACACCTTCACTTCAGAAAGGCTCACAAACACACTTTTATCGTTCTTATCCTTACCCTCTATAAAAAAATACTTTTTTATCTGAATGGTTTACATAGTTATCTTTCACTGCTAGTTTAAGAAATTTCTATGTCAGTTTCTTTTTATAATAGAAAATTTACCTAAAGAATCCATATTGTGATTAAATATTGTTTACTGTCAAAAAAGTTAATTTATTTATAACTTTCGTTATAGAGAATACAAGAAGAGGATGGAAACAGCCAAAGCTAGAATGTCTGCTATCTCCAAGAAACAGAAAGAGACAGAAAATATTGCTAACTTCTCTATTTATAATGAGAAAAAGTAAGTCTTGCATTCAACAAAACAATTCTTTGTAAGGATATTGCCTCTTTGATATTCAATTTCAGAGTTAAAATTTAGATATTTATAAATTTTGAATTAATTTTAAAACTTTCAGAATTTATCTGTTGAGAAAAAGAGATATCATATTGCAGAAGATTCAGTGAAAGAATGTGTAATGTTATCATGCATGGTTGTACAAGATTCAGTGAAAGAATGTGTAATGTCATCATGCATGGTTGCAGAAGATTCAGTGAAAGAATGTGTAATGTCATCATGCATGGTTGCAGAAGATTCAGTGAAAGAATGTGTAATGTCATCATGCATGGTTGCAGAAGATTCAGTGAAAGAATGTGTAATGTCATCATGCATGGTTGCGTTTTTTGTGTCTTCCAAAAAGAAGATCTGAGGATGGCAATAAAATTTAACGTCCTATTCTAATTTTGGCCATTGAAGAACTGAAAACAAGCAAATGACATGTATTAATTATAAAAATAGAATAAAAGGGAAATTTTAAATCGACTATGAATTAGAAAAAAGAGAACATCTGTAGTTTTTATACGACCGCAAAAAAATTTTTGTGGTTGTATATTGGTATGACGTTGGCGTCGTCATCATCGTCATCGTTCGAAGACACATTAGTTTTCGCACTCTAACTTTAGTTTAAGTGAATGGATCTCAATGAAATTTTACCATAAGGTTCAATACCACAAAAGGAAGGTGGGGATTGATTTTGGGGGTTATGGTACCCACAGTTAAGGAATTAGGGGCCAAAAAGGGGCCAAAAATAAGCATTTTTGTAACTTCCAGACATAACTTGTGTGTTGGTGTATGGATCTCTCTGACATTGTACCACAAGGTTCCATATCACAAAGGGAATCCTGGGATTGATTTTCGGGGTAATTGCCTCCAAATTTTAGGAATTAGGGGCAAAAAACAAGCATTTTTCTAGTTTCATGACAATAACTTGTGTGTAAGTGTATGGATCTCTCTGACATTGTATCACAAGGTTCCATATCACAAAGGGAATGCTGGGATTGATTTTGGGGGTAATTGCCTCCAAATTTTAGGAATTAGGGGCCAAAAAGGGGCAAAAAACAAGCATTATTCTAGTTTCATGACAATAACTTGTGTGTAAGTGTATGGATCGTTATGAAATTGTACTACAAGGTTCCATATCACAAAGGGAAAGCTGGAATTGAGTTTGGGGGTATTGCCCAAAAAGTTTAGGAATAAGGGGCCAACAAGGGGCCAAAATTAAGCATTTTTCTAGTTTCCAGACAATAACTTGTGTTCAAATGTATGGATCTCTCTGAAATTGTACTGCAAGGTACCATACCACAAAGGGAAAGCTGGGATTGATTTTGGGGGTAATTCCCTCAAAAGTTTAGTAATTAGGGGCCATAAAAGGGCAAAAAAATAAGCATTTTTCTAGTTTCAGGACAATAACTTGTGTGTAAGTGTATGGATCTTTAAGAAATTGTAATGCAAGGTCCCATATCACAAAGGGAAAGCTGGGTTTGAGTTTGGGAGTAATTGCACTAATCGTTTAGGAATTTGGGGTCAAAAAGGGGCCAAAAAACAAGCATTTTTCTAGTTTCCATATCACAAAGGGAAAGCTGGGATTGAGTTTGGGGGTGATGAATCATAAGGGGGTTCAAAAAATTTGGGGGGGGGGATTTTTTTTCCCTTTTTTTCTTTAAAATTTTCCATTTTAAATTGGTTATTTCTGATTTATATATAAAAGGAAATAATAATGATATGGTTTGAATAGGTAAATTAAAAATTTTTAAGTTCTTAGACCAAATTCATTCTGTGTGTCAAATATTTAATTACAATCCAAATTCAGTGCTGTATCAAGCTTGAATGTTGTGTCCATACTTGCCCCAACTGTTCAGGGTTCGACCTCTGCGTTCGTATCAAGCTGCGCCCCAGCGGAGCATTTTATTTTACATTAGTATGACATATATCTACATTCTACTTAAAATATACTTAATACATGCTGTTGAAGAGGTTTGCAGAGAAAATCTGAAGTTTACTTAAATTTTGGACTAACATCTTGGTATTTTTTAGTGATCAAATGATCATTTATATTACAAATCCATTTAGTGTTTATTTCAATGAATCCAAAGAGAATGAAAATGATTAAAATTGAACCCTCAAGAATCTCCAATTCTTTACTTTTAAACAAAACATAACCACTTTATTTATACTTTTAGAATACAAGATCTAGAGCTGGCTGTTGACAGAATGAAGCAAACAAAGGAACATGTGACAAAGAAGTTAAAAGATGAATCTGAAAGGAAACTCAAATTAGAGGTGACTATCATATTTCATTTAATTTTCTTGTCCGTTTCTATACAAAATTGAACATCACTGTCTGGACAGTTAATGAAGTTTTATAGGCTGACCTTTAATAACCTTTATGTCTGGAATCACCACATAGGTAATTGTATTTAAGTATGATATATTAATTCTTGGAAGATTTGAAAATTGTAGCTTTCTCTTGATCATTATTTATATTAAAGTATCTTTTTACCCTGTAGAGAGAGATGCAGAAGGAAACACAAAAAGTCAAGGAACTGGAGATAAAGAATGAACAACAACAGAAAATATTGAAACGAAAGAATGAAGAAATAGCAGCTGTTCAAAGAAAGTTAAGAAGTGGGGGAGGATCATCACTGCCACCTATCAACATGTAAGTCAGAAACAATGTTTGCCAGGAAATTTACGTATGGTAGATTATAATTTGAAAGGTAAATGCTTGGACCTTAAAAAGATGTATCCAAAAATTCTGGTTATCAAGAAAAAACCTGGCAATGATGAATTCAGTTTTGTATTTTATGTTTATGTCATATACATATAAATAGAATTACTTGAAATTAACCAGATATTTAAACGGTGCACTATTAGAAATAGACAAATAATTACTGAGAAATAATTCATTGCGAACAAAATGCTTTTCACACTTGAACTTCATCTTTTTTGCTCATGACCAAACATTCTGAACAACGAAAAGAAGGAAAAAATAATTAGTCTGATTAGAACATGGAAAAAATTCATATCCATTTGAGTAAGACGAAACCTAGGTGTTTAGGCAGACTACATTTTAGCGAATGTTTATTTATTACAGCATGGATCAAACATTTTAGTTTATGTTTATTTATTACAGTGAAGATCATGATAAGATAGAAGATCAGAAGAAATGGTTAGACAATGAAGTGGAGAAAGTCTTACAGCAGAAAAGACAAATGGAGGAACTACAAGAAGTAAGTTCTTGTTGTCTTGCGTCAACGAAGTCGAAAAAGTGAGACTTAGGTGTGCTGTTTCTGACAGTAGCGTCAACAATTTATTAGCTTGTGATTAGGTCAGTTTAGTGAGAACCACTGGTGGTAGGTCAATGATATTTGGTTTGAAGTTGTATTAGCCGTGGCACATCTCATTTCCATGAGATTATTTGGCCAAACTTTTGCTTAGTTTGCATGTATTAGTTTGTGATTAAGTCAGTTTAAATGGAACCATTAGTGGTAGGTCAATGATATTTGTATGGAGATGTATTAGCATTAGCACATCTCATTTCCATTCAGGTTTTTGGCCTCGCCCCCTCAGTCATGGTCTATTGACTGAATATTTTGCATAGTTACATGTTAAAGTTTGTGATATGATCAGTTCTAGATGAACCAAGTCAGTGATATTTGGTATGCAGATGTTTTGGCATTTTCAAGTCTCATTTCCAGGCCCAAACCCTCATCATGGTTTATTGATTTTGAAACTTTACATGGTTTACAAGTTAAAGTTTGTGTTTAGATTTTTTTAAAGGGAACCACTTATGATAAGTCAAGGGTATTTGGTATGCAGGTTTATAAATATGGGCATTTCTTATTTCTGTGGAGGTATTTGGGTCAGCACCTTCAGTCATGGTTCATTGACTTTGAATGATTTGCATAGTTCACATGTTTAAATATTGCCATTCTAATTTCAACATTTGCATTATACTATCAACATTACAAAATGCAAGACATATCTCTGTGTCAACAGTTTATAGTAATTAATATGGGGATTTCATGGGAATTATAGAAATTCAATAGTTATTAAATAAATATCAATAAACAAAAAACAACTACTATTACTATTATGAAGGTTTTAAACAACCTTGACTACCTGTAAGGGTCTTCTATGGTTGGTCACAAAACACAATAACATTATTAGTGTGTAGACAATAACAAAAATGGAGAACTTCATATTAACATTTTTGAAGAATATTTTTAAAGGTATACAGGATATGGCTAATGCATGGAATATTTATTTTTAGGAACTCAAAAAGAGAGAGACAATAGTTGCTAAGAAAGAGGCCATGTTGGCTGAGAAAAGTGAAATAGAATTCAGGAGAATGAGATCTAGTCAGATCATAAATAAGGTAACATTAGTAGCTTTATTTTGCCAGAAAGCTTTTTTTTGTAATTTTTAAGCAATTTATAGCATGTAGATGGATTGATTTTAGTAATGTAAATCTATATATCATTCTTGTTTATAAAGTAAGAAAGTTTTAATTTCTAAATTAAATGACTTTTTATATTGAATTTGTATTTTACGTACAGTATTCTAAATGATTATTATTCCAAAAAATTGAATAGAATTCAATATCATTTGTTTTTATTATTATTTTTATTAAACAATATACAGGAAATTTATTACTTAACAATGTTGTTTCAGAAAACTTTATTTAACAGCATATTTAAGAAAAAAGTATTAAAGAATATTTTTCTTTTTTATTTATAAAATAGTTTATCTATTCAGTATCTACATGTAGTGCATATATGAGTGCATTCTTGTGTAAAATGTTATATATATATATTATCTACAGATTGTGCATTTGGTTGTGCATTCTTTTACAGAATATTTTATCAGTGTCTATGAAGTTAGACACATTAGATAAACGTCTTGAAGAGAAGACATCTGAATTATCCAAGACACCAACAGAACAGCAGCAGTTTGTAAAAGAGGAAATGTCAAAATTCCAAGAAGGGAGAGACAAGCTGGCGAGACAGAGAACTGTCCTTGAGAATAAACTGAGGGAGGGAAGACTGTTGTCAGGACAGGAAGAAAGGAGGTTAGAACTTCCGTGTAAAAATATAAAATTAATGTATAGCGATGTATGAAATATTATAATTACTGTAACAAGTTATACATCAATTAAATGGATTATTTATAAAATATATTGTATTGTACCAAGGGTTTGGAATTTTTTTCAGGCAATTTCAGTAATTTCTGGCCAAAATAGGCATTGAAAATGTCTGACCTTGGTAAATTTTAAAATTCAAATTTATATTCAATTTTAGTCATTTGTATTTTTAATTAGTCACAACTGCCAAATTAGCTGAGGAACTGTAGCTGTAATGTTCCTTTGGAAATTTGTTTGTTTTTGTGGTTTTGCAGTTACTGGCAAATATGGGCATTTCCTGAGCCTTGGATTGTACTGCTTTCATAAAGGCAAAAAGTTTCATGTATAACTTCAGTATCCAAATCTTTTAGTACAACCTGCAGCATATTATTATTAATCAAATATAATTGCCTAGTTTGAAAAGTGGACTTAAAGCAAATTCATTCATAGAAGAACTAAAAAAGTCTTTAAATGTTTCTGAAATCAAAATTCATTACTGTGTTTAACAATAATATGGTTTTTATTTTTGTCATTATAGGATTATAGAACTGGATGAAGGTATTGATGCATTAGATGCAGCAATAGAATATAAAACAGATGCTATAAATAGCCGTCAATTAGAACTTCGTCATTCACAGATTTTGTCTAAGGTTTGTCTTATATTAATTAGAACCTTTATCATGCTCAGCTTTATTAAAGATTTGTTTTAGATTAAGTAGAATTTTAGTCATGTTAAGGTTTGTCTTCCCATCACAATTTATTTTTAGATTTGTGAATCAAATTTAATCTTCAGGGCCTTGCTTACTCAATAGCATTTTGATATAGTATCTTACAAAGAATTTGTATTTTATTTCTTGAATAGAAAGTGATACATTTTTTGTTAAATGATAGTGGAAGGAATAATTTAAAAAAAAAAATCATTCTTTATATTTTTATAGAGTGAGGACCATGTGATGAATAAATTGAATTCCTTGACCACTACAGAAACCAGAGCTCTGATGATGAAATATTTCAATAAAGTCGTAGCATGTAAGGATGCAGAGAGGAGGCTTAATCTTCACTGTAGTGAAATGGAGGTTTGTAAATATTAAACAAAAAGTCTCTCTATGTAAATCAGGCGAACTTGTCGAAACTGAACACTTGTTTCATTGAGTGGAACGTTTTGATTAAAGCATGTTTATCTTTCAAATATGATTTCACATTTAAGTAAATTGTTATTCCAATGAAACAGTCCTTCAATAATATAGCTTAATACTGATTGATTGATTGTTGGTGTTAAACAACACTTTCAGCACTATTGGCTATATTGTGGTGGTCAGTTTTTATGCGGTCTTATATTGGTATGACGTTGGCGTCGTCGTCGGAAGACACATTGGTTTTCGCACTCTAACTTTAGTTTAAGTGAATGGATCTCTATGAAATTTTACCATAAGGTTCAATACCACAAAAGGAAGGTGGGGATTGATTTTGGGGGTTATGGTACCAACAGTTAAGGAATAAGGGGCCAAAAATAAGCATTTTTGTAACTTCCAGACATAACTTGTGTGTTAGTGTATGGATCTCTCTGACATTGTACCACAAGGTTCCATATCACAAAGGGAATGCTTGGATTGATTTTGGGGATAATTGCCTCACAATTTTAGGAATTAGGGGCCAAAAAAGGGGCAAAAAACAAGCATTTTTCTAGTTTCATGACAATAACTTGTGTGTAAGTCCATGGATCTTTCTGAATTTGTACTACAAGGTTCCATATCACAAAGGGAAAGCTGGGTTTGAGTTTGGGGGTAATTGCCCAAAACGTTTAGGAATAAGGGGCCAAAAAGGGGCCAAAAATAGCATTTTTCTAGTTTCCAGACAATAACTTGTGTTCAAGTGTTGTAGATTTCTCTGAAATTGTACTGCAAGGTTCCATATCACAAAGGGAATGCTTGGATTGATTTTGGGGGTAATTGCCTCAAAATTTTAGGAATTAGGGGCCAAAAACATGCATTTTTCTAGTTTCAGGACAATAACTTTTGTGTAAGTGTATGGATCTTTATGAAATTGTACTACAAGGTTCCATATCACAAAGGGAAAGCTGGGTTTGAGTTTGGGGGTAATTGCCCTAAACGTTTAGGAATTTGGGGCCAAAAAACAAGCATTTTTCTAGTTTCCAGACAATAACTTGTGTTCAAGTGTATGGATCTCTCTGAAATTGTACTGCAAGGTACCATACCACAAAGGGAAGGCTGGGATTGAGTTTGGGGGTGATGAATTATAAGGGGGTTCAAAAAATTGGGGGAGGGGGGGGGGTTCCTTTTTTTCTTTAAAATTTTCCATTTTAAATTGGTTATTTCTGATTTATTTATAAAAGCAAATAATAATGATATGGTTTGAATAGGTAAATTAAAATTTTTTAAGTTCTTTGACCACATTCATTCTGTGTGAGAAACCTATGCTGTGTCAAATATTTAATCACAATCCAAATTCAGTGCTGTATCAAGCTTGAATGTTGTGTCCATACTTGCCCCAACTGTTCAGGGTTCGACCTCTGCGGTCGTATCAAGCTGCGCCCAGCGGAGCATTTTATTATTATTGGAGGAAGCTGGAGAGTCTAGAGAGAACCAGTGACCTCAAGCAGAAAAACTGACAATCCTTGTCAATTAAGATTTGAGTCAACAGCACCTGCCACTTGCGGGATTCAAACTCACAACCTCAGTGTTGACAGGCTAGTGATACATTAGATGAACTACTGAGACCACTCAGCCACTGAGGCCCCCTATAGCTTTACAATAGTTATATGTATAATTTCAGCTTTCGAAAATCTATTTTAGGCTTTCATTTGGAATCAGGGTAATGTTAGATACATTTATTAAGCAGTTATATTCCTGCAAGCATTTCATGTGCTTTGATTATTGACAGTGAATAAGACGTATATTCAATGTTTTTGATAGCATAAGTTTGTACAGTACCAGTAATTAGTATTGCATTCTTACTACAATGCTCTATTAGCACTGCCACCCTTTAAAGTGGTGGTGACCTTTTTTCTTTTGTCATTCCTAATGTTGTATTTATTAACATCATACAAATGATTATCTAGGTGAAACAAGATGAGCAAGAGAGGTTAATCCGTGAATTAGAGGCAGCATTACAGAGGTCAGCAGTGGAGGTCGATCGTAGGATTACCAAACAGACACGGGAATATGAACAGAAAATACAAATGTTGATGAGACAGTTGGCTGATTCTGGGACAAATGTTGGTAATAGTGGAGGATTTGGACCTGAAATTGATGAAAAGTAAGTTTTACAGACTCCATGGTCCAATGTTGGATAAAATGGAGGTTTGAAGAAAGGTAATTTTTACTGAGTCCAGTGTAAAACTTTGAACGAAGCGGAGTTTGGACCTCAAATTGATAAAAAAAAAGTTTTATCCAGTCCAGGGTCCATTTTAGACCAGAGTTAAGTGTTTTGACCCAAAGGTCTTAGAAAAACAAACGCTGTTGAATGTAGGGACTAATGTTTGACAAGGTGCTTAATTAGGGGATTTCTGATTGAAGAGTACAGTCTTACTAAATCCAAGGAATTCAGACAATTTAATCAAATCAAGGGACCAGTTTCAGGAAAAATAAAGAGAATGTCAAATTTTTATTAAAGTCCACATGTATTATTAGTATTGTCATTATCAAAACTTATATTATATTACAGTAATTATTTCATTTCTTCAGTATGATTTATTCTCATTTTCAGAATGCAAAGACTAGAGAAGGAATTATATTACTACAAAAAGACCAGTAGAGAGTTAAAGAAAAGGTTAAGAGAACTAGAGGCATCTGGGGCTCTTCCACATCAAGGTATAGTCATCTGATATAAGGATTAGTGAATTGAATTTCAAGTTAAACTTTATTGCATTGATCTTCAAAACACTTATGTCATTTTAAACTTTTTATTTGTGTTGGTCATGTTTCAATAATGAAAATGGTCCAGTAATTTTTTGCAGAATATGCAAATTATGAATGTTTTTAAAATTTGATAAATCTTGTGTTCACTGACTTTAGAATATGTAAAACTAGTCCCAGATTTACAAGAAATAAGTAAACGTATCCAGAAAAATTGTAAGTTTTTATTTGGTTAATTCACTATATGTGAAAAACAGAATAGTTTATTTAGAAACCAGTTTTGATGCAGCAAATTGAGTATTAATGATTTTTTTTAATTTTCTCCTTTGATAGTGTCTCATAACAATATTTCATTCAGGAATTCATTCATTATTTCAGATGATCTTGATATAAGAAGTTCTGTCCAGAGTTCAATTAATGAGACAGACCATGCTGCTGGTGCCTCAAGTAATCATATAGGAAGCAGGGAACCAAACAGGTAAGATATTAGATATAAAAAGTTATACTTTTATCAGTGAGTCAGACCATGATACTGGTATCTTCAGTAATCATATAGGAAGCAGGGTAAACAGGTAAGATATTAGAATTTCATCAGTACCTTCAATAGTGAGCCAAACCATGCTGCTGGTGCCTCAAGTAACCACACCTGAAACAGGGAACCAGCTTGGTAAGATATTTTCAATATTTCAGTAGTTATTTGGGCGAGTGATGCCATCATTAAGCCCTATCTTGTGTCAAAGGAAAACTTTTTTGACACATTAGTGAATTTGAAAAGCCAGTCAGTTAGTGAATGTACAACAAGTAAAGATCATCATGAAAAATAACAATCTAGATTTTTATGGGAGCATAAAGAATAATTGTTTATTGCATTATCATTTTAGAGAACCAAGACTACTTAGTGCTAGAAGTGAGAAACAGAATTCCAGACCAAGTTCTGCCAAATCAGGGGCCAATGTCTCAACCACAGTAACTCCAGTAAAACTGTCTCGTAAAGATTTACGACAAATTCCTGATACAGAACTTGCCCTAAGAAGGTCAAATCTGAGTCAAGGTCGCCACAGTATTGGATCCCCTCCCCCACAAGGTACTGTAATCTAGTCAAATTAAAATGTGCTTACAAATGTTTTAAAATGTTTAAACTTCATTCCCTGAATTCGGTTTGTAATACAATAATTATAATCTGATTCTGAATTGGATGTCCATGTTATTTTGCCAGTAATCTGTTGACAGACATTAAGTTAACTCTAATAATGAATTTCTAATCAGTCTCTATCAGTATAGACAGATGACATCTCGAGTTCAAGTAACAGAGGCATTTCCTTGAAAACAAAATTTACAAATTTCGTTTTTCATAGGGTTCTTTGATCTCAGTTTTTCAGTAGTTAAAATTCAATTATGACGTGAAAATTTTTTGGTTTCCTCTTATTTCAATATTGTGACTCACAGGAGAAAAAAGGCAACATTGCCTAATGATGTTACATACAAAAAACACAATATCAGGGCCGTAACTACCGTTGAGGCAGACAAGGCAATTGCCTCGTGAGATTTTCTGGCAAAAAAACATAATAAGAAGAAAATGAAAGAAAATAGAGAAAGCTAGGCATGCAGAGGTAGAAAACATCCTTGCATTTTCATATCAAGAATTAAGTAATACATACTTCAAATAGAAATTAATGTTGAGGTGCAGGTTTTGCACTTTTATTTCTGTTTGATAACCATTGCCAGTAAACCGGCATTTGGTTCTGCAAGTTCGACCGTCAGAGATTTTGGTTTCCTTGGAGATATTATCGTGTTGGAGATCTTTTTCTGCCCTTCGAAGTTTTAAGAAATGGTGCAGGTCAACAATGACCGATGACAGATGATTTAGCCATACTTCCCGTCCATCGTACGGACAATGTTGGGCAAGTGAACACAGAAGCTGTTCTCAAACAATGGGATCTTACTGGCACAAGAAAGGTCAAACTAGCATTTACAGACAGTGACTAGGTTCTACAGTATCCTACTGTAAATGGATACATGTTTGATGGTACAAAATTCGAGGCAAGTATCTGGCAGCCGGCTCTGATAGCCTACTGCAGTTCTTCATACGGTAAATATGAAACAAATACGGATGTATAACAAGTTTTATATCGGACCTTAATATTACAATTTTCAGACATGGGGCTTTACCCCCTATTTACCTGGGGTCTCGGTCGGCGGACTGAAGACCCCTGCCTTGTCTGTTTCCGATGCCTAGTTACGACCCTGAATATTCTTACAGATCATTGAAAAAGAAAGATCAAGTTTGCCTACACATCCTAATAAGTAATTAAGAGAAATGATTGTGCAATAGGATAATTCTCTTGTTTAGACAGTTACATTTTTAATTTAATGTTAGAATCTTTATGTATTTAATGCATTATTCTGGATATATCTGCGTCTGGAATCTTCTGATTATAAAGGTCCAGCCAAATATGTATAAATAAGTGAAGTTCTATAACCAAGTGTGGGCTTAAAAATAGACAATACTTTTACAATCCACTATGCACCTGTGATTTGTAACTTTGATTTAAAGGACAAGTACAGAATAGATCTACTGAGAATTTTTAATCATTTATTGCATAAATGGTACTGTGAATTAATTATTATACCCCTGCTTTAAAAAAGTGGGGGTATACTGTTTTACCTCTGTCTGTCCGTCCGTCTGTCCATCCATCCGTCCGTCAGTCCGTCCATCCGTCCCATGAATATATTTCGTCGCAGCTTCCTCAGGAACTACATCATAAGGATTTCTGAAATTTGGTTTCAGGGTTTATATATAAGTCAGCTATACGTGTGATGCGTTTTCAGATTCATCACTCAACAACTTCTTGTTTACCGAACACTTACATATTTTTACACTATTACAATTATCCAGTTGTGGAGGGGGTATCATCAGTGAGCAGTAGCTCACAGTTTCACTTGTTTTATTTTGGATTGAGGAAAAATTGTATTTTGTGGCTACCTGATTTTGTGGAATTTACAAATTTTGTATTCAACACTTTAAAAAGGTTTGTATTATTTAAAACACTTTAAAGTTGTGGTTCACCTTTATCAATAAAATCAGCAAAAATTAATACCTACAAAAAATAGTACCTACAAAAATCAATACCTACAAAAATAATCAATACACAGTATAAAATGAATTGGTTGTGACTTAATTTAATGATGAAAAATATAAATCAGAGTGCTCTATCTTTTTTTTACAGATTCACTTGATGGAGGATTAGGGAATAGTAACCCCTGGGGATGATTTGTATATAGGACTATTTTGTATAGGGCAAGGATACAAGAATTCCTACCAATGTGTTCACTTGTGATGTGGTGCTTTTTGATTGGCTGCCTGCTGTTACATCACAATGTCAATGATTGTCACTGGTTCCTACAATTCAGCTGACTGATGGAAATGCTTGTTAAATTGTACATAGCTAGATGCAAAAATCTATGTTAAGCTAGAGAACAACAATTTTAGGACAAGGTTGATATCAATCAAGATATATAGACTTGAGAGAACATTGGGTCAGCAACAAAGATGTCACAATGTGCATTGAGTGTGTTTGTAAATGCTATGGTTTCTGTGAGCCAAAGTGACTTCTATATAAGATTATTTAACATATGATCAATATTTTCTCACACATTTTTAAGATCAATTTTGAGATCTGTAGTACATGTATAATGTAGCAAACATGTGTTAAACAGAGATGAAGTTTAGTTATTTAATTTGCACAGAAAATTATAAAAGGTGTACTTTCATGATTCGGCTGCCTCGTACTTAATATCATTGCCAGCTTTCATTGTAGTAATCATACTCAGACAAATATTTATGTGTGATGTGCAATATACATGTATTGTTACAGAGTTTTAAAAACTGAAACAATGACAGAATTTTATTTATTTACATGAATTTTTATGATAAGTCCCATTGAATGGTTTACTTATGTTAGAAGTCAACATATATATGTACAGTGTTGCACTTGTTTATGCTCTGTTTTTAATGTATTTAAAGATCCAAAGATTTAAGGTAATCAAGAGTTATCCCACCTTAGTTACTGTGTACCAAGTATATTAGTCTAACCACTGATTTACAAAATAATTTTATATTGTAAATGATATATTTAATCCCTTTTAAGTGTCAAATAGATAAAGTTTATAAAACAAGTAGTGCTAATGGGTTAAGACATTGGTCCTATATGGTATATTATTATTTAATCAAGACTATCTTTGTTTTGTCTTCGAACTACAATTTTTATGTCAAATCAAAATCTCAAAACTTCTTAAGAAATATTATAAAGAAGAACTCTGAATTCGTTCTTACGGCAACAGCAGCCATCTTGGACAACAAATGCTGTCACAAATTTTTATTGTAGCAGACTTGAATATAAAGAATCAATTTATTTGCATGAATTTTTGTTAAAAAGACTTTATATTATTTTATCTGATGATAAGATCCTTTAAACTCAGAAACTTGATTTATTAACCAAGAAAAAACATGAAAGGGTTGTGTATGAGGGGAGTTAACTCAGAAAATTTAATGAATTATAGGTTGTACTGCATCTTGAATGAATTTACCTTTTTTGATACAAAAATTATGATAATTTTTTCCTTTTTTTTTTCCTTTTTAGAGTAATTAATAAAAAATTTCTTACATGTTTTATTTTATAATCTAATGTTCTTTCTGTTCACATAACTATTTTTCTCTTTCTTATATTTAAAAAACTTGCTGTTTGTGCCATCAGGCATAGCAAGAACTAAGTAAGTAATATTTACAAAAAGAGAGAATTTTACAAAAACCATAAGCACTGTGAAATATACTTCTTGTCATTATTTTTTTTTAAGAAGCATGAGGTAAACTTTATAAAAAATCTTATATTTCTACTTTATATTTCCATACCACCTTACATGTGTTAAACCAGTATTTTACATAAATACTTCATATACCACAGTGTACTTTATCTGAAGCCTCTAATCAAACCACAAAATATCACCAAGTATACTTAATGTTCATATCATTTTAACCTTGTGACATATAATTTAGCATTAGATTGCTGCATACCACCTTTATTGTTTGTCAGATTTTATTAGATACTGATACTGTATTTTATTTATGTTTGTTAGTTGCTTTATATATTGTACAAACTGGATAGGATGAATGAAGTCTTTGTTGTTTATTTTTATAAAAACCTTTCTTCCATGTGATTTAACTTCCGTCCAATGGAGTTTAAAATTTTGAACCAGATTTTGGTCATAGTATCATTTTCAGAATTATTTGTTTAAGAAATTTATTTAAATCCTTTAATTTTAGAATTATAACATGTGTATTTAGGCAGTTCCTATTTCATTCTCTTATGTTAGCCTTGCAAATTACGTCCATTATTTGAATCTCGACATTCATTCACAGGAATAGTTATAATGCCAACCAATGAAATTCTCCTCTTATTGTGGCATACTTTTACAAGTTGTCTGTTATCAATTTGTTAGTTCAGTTTATTAATTTGCTCCTTAATGTTCCAGTGTGGTTGGTATATTTCTTTATTAACAAACATTCCATATGTTAAAACCTCATTCTTGTTTTCATAACCATTTATGTTGATACAAGGGACCAGTTTGTTTGTTTGTGATATAATATTTAGATGTGATATTTATTTTTTTCACATGATGTAGTATCAGGGTTGTGTCAATCATTTTACTTAATGATGAAAAATAAAAACTAAAAACTACTCTATTGTTACTCTTTATCGATCTACTCTTTAAATCAAGAAGGTAGTGTTTTTTTTACCATTTTCTGTTACAACTATGGATTTTAAGATGGGACAGAATTCTGAATTGAAGTCATATAAATGAACCAAAAGAGATGTGTTAATTACTTGCAGAAAGTATTAAACACCATTTTGCCTCGCTTCAATGAAGTCGAAAACCTGCTGTTTCTGGCTGTGGCTGCAATGTATTAGTTTGAAAGTAGGTCAGTTTAAAGGGAACCACTTATGCATTGGCATTTCTCATTTCCATGGAGGATATTCGGCCCTGCACCTTATGTTATGGTTTATTGATTTTGAATGATTTGCATAGTTAACATGTTTAAATATTGCCATTTTAATTTTAACATTTGTATTATACTATCAAAATTACAAAAAAAAAGCAATCACATGACATTGTAATTTGCCAGTAAAATGAAGAAGTAAAAAGTGAAGACAATGGATTGAATTTTAATTAAGTATACTTACATGCTTTCCCTATGTTAACATTTATAAAATATAACTTTTTGATTTGAAATGTGTATGAAATTTTTTCAAGGTTCATAAGCTTTTGGCAAAAATGGCAGTGATTGTTCTGAGTACAGACTTATCTGTGAAACCGGTAAAGTTAAAAGGTATAGTTGGACCTAGATATAGAAAAGCTTAGTACATTTTGAGTTTCAGAGAATTAAAAACTTATGGACTTTTTTTATACGCCTGTTTACGGGACGTATTATGGTATACCTCTGTCCGTCTGCTCGTCCGTCTGTCCGTCCGTCCGTCCGTCGTCAACATGTCTGACATTAACTTAAAAACGCTTTAACCAATGTGCATAAAACTTTGGTGAATTGTTTATATCTATTAATGTGAGCTCCCTTTCGTTTTTATACGACCGCAAAAATTAAAATTTTTTGGTCGTATATTGGTATGACGTTGGCGGGTTTTGGGGTTATGGTACCAACAGTTAAGGAATTAGGGGCCAAAAAGGGGCCAAAAATAAGCATTTTTGTAACTTCCAGACATAACTTGTGTGTTAGTGTATGGATCTCTCTGACATTGTACCACAAGGTTCCATATCACAAAGGGAATGCTGGGATTGATTTTGGGGGTAATTGCCGCAAAATTTTAGGAATAAGGGGCCAAAAAAGGGGCAAAAAACAAGCATTTTTCTAGTTTCATGATAATAACTTGTGTGTAAGTATATGGATTTTTCTGAAATTGAACTACAAGGTTCCATATCACAAAGGGAAAGCTGGAATTGAGTTTGGGGGTAATTGCCCTAAACGTTGAGGAATAAGGGGCCAAAAATAGCATTTTTCTAGTTTCCAGACAATAACTTCTGTTCAAGTGTATGGATCTCTCTGAAATTGTACTGCAAGGTACCATACCACAAAGGGAATGCTGGGATTGATTTTGGGGGTAATTGCCTCAAAATTTTAGGAATTAGGGGCCAAAAAGGGGCAAAAAACAAGCATTTTTTCTAGTTTCAGGACAATAACTTGTGTGTAAGTGTATGGATCTTTATGAAATTGTACTACAAGGTTCCATATCACAAAAGGAAAGCTGGGTTTGAGTTTGGGGGTAATTGCCCTTAACATTTAGGAATTTGGGGCCAAAAAAGGGGCCTAAAAACAAGCATTTTTCTAGTTTCCAGACAATAACTTGTGTTCAAGTGTATGGATCTCTCTGAAATTGTACTGCAAGGTACCATACCACAAAGGGAAGGCTGGGATTGAGTTTGGGGGTAATTGCCTCAAAATTTTAGGAATTAGGGGCCAAAAAGGGGCAAAAAACAAGCATTTTTCTAGTTTCAGGACAATAACTTGTGTGTAAGTGTATGGATCTTTATGAAATTGTACTACAAGGTTCCATATCGCAAAAGGAAAGCTGGGTTTGAGTTTCAGGGTAATTGCCCTAAACATTAGGAATTTGGGGCCAAAAAGGGGCCTAAAAACAAGCATTTTTCTAGTTTCCAGACAATAACTTGTGTTCAAGTGTATGGATCTCTCTGAAATTGTACTGCAAGGTACCATACCACAAAGGGAAGGCTGGGATTGTGTTTGGGGGTGATGAATCATAATGGGGTTCAAAAAATTTAGTGGAGGGATTTTTTTTTTCTTTAAAATTTTCCATTTTAAATTGGTTATTTCTGATTTATATATAAAAGCAAATAATAATGATATAGTTTGAATAGGTAAATTAAAAATTTTTAAGTTCTTAGACCACATTCATTCTGTGTCAGAAACCTATGCTGTGTCAAATATTTAATCACAATCCAAATTCAGTGCTGTATCAAGCTTGAATGTTGTGTCCATACTTGCCCCAACTGTTCAGGGTTCGACCTCTGCGGTCTTATCAAGCTGCACCCCAGCGGAGCATTTTATTTATGGGGTTGTGGGGTTTTATTCATTAAAAAAAGGGGGATTTTCCAGTTCTCGGACAATAACTCAAGAATGCTTTCACCAACTTGCAAGAAATTTTGGTTAATTGTTTATATCTATTGACATGAGCTCCTTTTTGATTTTTATAAATTTTAGATTTTACGTTTCCAAGTTACGGGGTTTTATTCATAAAAAAAGGGGGATTTCCAGTTTTCGGACAATAACTCAAAAATGATTTCAGCAGTTCTCATGAAACTTTGATGAATTGTTGATATCTATTGATGTAAGCTCCCTTTAGAATTTTATAAATTTTAGATTTTACATTTCTGAGTTATGGGGTTTTATTCATTAAAAAAGGGGGGATTTTCCATTTTTCAGACAATAACTCAAAAATGCTTTCAGCAATTCTTATGAAACTTTGGTGAATTGATTATATCTATTGATGTAAGCTCCCTTTAGAATTTTATAATAAATTTTATTTGTTTATAGTCTGACAACAGATTTACTAAGTATTGCGCAACAGCATAGTGTATTGCACAACAGCAAGAAATCTTTAATTGAATATAAATTCAATCATATAACCAATTTCAAGTTCTAAACTACATTTATTCAGAAACCTATAATATGTCAAATATTTAATTACAATCCAAATTCAGACCCGTATCAAGTTTGAATATTGTGTCCATTTTTGCCCCAACTGTTCAGGGTTGGACCTCTGCGGGTGTATCCAGCTGCGCTCAGTGAAGCAGTTTATTTTGTCTCCCAAGACGTAAAACTAAATAAGTTGGGTTACATATTTGAGATGTTTCCCTCGGGTAATAATCTTAATTTACTGTATTTATTGATATGGACATTGAAGAGAGGGACAATAGATATCTGCACAACCAAAGATGATTCAAACAGTGAGTGGATAGTATCAAATAAAATTCAGATATTTGTTTATTTTAACTGTTACAATCTTCTGCAGTTATAAAAAACTAGAGGCTCTAAAGAGCCTGTGTTGATCACCTGGGTCTATGTGCATCTTCAACAATGGATACTCTCCATCTTTGTGGAATAGAATAGAATTCATGACAAAAGTCTCTTCTTTGTTGTCCCCCGGGTAACGCTTTGCGGGGGACATGGAAATACCGCTCTCACAGGTACAATTCTTGGCAGATTTTTATAAAACTTATACTATAGGTTTATATCAGCAATATCTCGGACAAGTTCTATAATGGTGAACGATCAACTTTTTTTAAAGAGTTATGCCCCTTGGAAATATTAAATTTATGGAAAATGGCCTCGTTAGCGCTCTCACAGGTACAATTCTTGCCAGATTTTTATAAAACTTACAGTATAGGTTAATATCAGCAATATATCGGACAAGTTCTATTATGGTGGCCGATCAACTTTTATTAAAAGAATTATGCCCCTTGGAAATATTAAATTTATGGAAAATGGCCTTGTTACCGCTCTCACAGGTACAAATCTTGCCAGATTTTTATAAAACTTATACTATAGGTTAATATCGGCAATATCTCGGACAAGTTCTATAATGGTGGAAGATCGACTTTTTTTTAAAGAGTTATGCCCCTTGGAAATATTAAATTTCTGGAAAATGGACTTGTTAGCGCTCTCACGGGTACAATTCTTGCCAGATTTTTATATAACTTATACTATAGGTTAATATCAGCTTTATCTCGAACAAGTTCTCTAGTGGTGGACGATCAAGTTTTTTAAAACAGTTATGCCCCTTGGAAATATAAAATATGTGCAATGCAGGGGACATTGGAACTCTGTCCTTTTATTGATTTAAACTTGTTGATCATTTTTGCTTATTTAAGTTTCTATTTAATATAGTTTTTCAGATAGTAGGCAACAAAGCAAAAAAATTATAAAAATCATTATTAAAGAGAACAACTCCAATAAAGGGTCATCAGATGACTTAAACGATGTTGACTAATTTGTAGAACTTATCTTGATGATCATTTTTTCTGCATAAAGTTTCTCTCTCTCTATTATAATTTTCTAATTAATAGGCAAAAATTTAAAAAGTTAGGAAAATTTGTCATTTAAGGGCAATAACTCCTATAAAGAAAAGTGGGCTGACAGTTTGTAAGTAAATGGACAATGGGTAGATCTCGTCATTTCAAATATTTCTGCCCTTTTCAGATTTTCACTATTTATAGTGGTTTTCAAGATCATAGACAAAACTTGCATTTTACCCTTATGTTCTATTTTTAGCCATGTCGGCCATCTTGGTTGGCAGGCGGGGTCATTTGACACATTTTTTAAACTAGATACCCTAATGATGATTGTGGCCAAGTTTGGTTAAATTTGGATTAGTAGTTTCAGAGAAGAAGATTTCTGTAAAAGTAAACGACAACGAACGCCAAGGGATGAGAAAAGCTCACTTGGCCATTTGGGCCAGGTGAGCTAAAGAGTGATTCTCAACATTCCAAAAAATTTAATAGAATATGCATTTAACTTGAATAAATCTAGGTCCAGCCAGGCCTTAAAACTTTTTGAGTTGCACAGGTATATCTGAAATAGTGAACTTATTAATTGGTCAATACATTAACAGAATTTAGTTGAATTATGATCTAACACAATACTAATACT